TGTGAGAGATCAAGAGTTTCGAGCAAATGCAAGTTTCCGATCTTGGAGGGGATCTTTCCAGTCAATTGATTCCTGGACAATTTCAAGGTACCCAATAGAATGAGGCTACTTATTTCTTCAGGGATTTCACCTTGTAAATTATTTGATGAAAGATCAATGCTCTTTACAAGATCTAAAGTCTTGTTGTACACAAGTTTGCTTCCTTTTAGCGTCAATGTGGCTTGCTCAATAAAACTAGTAAAGTTTATAGATGAAGCATTGACAAGTGAAGCCAAATTATCCAAACACTTAGGAATAGTACCTGAAATATATGTCCACTAAAATAGTTGAACCGTAATCGTATCCGATACAACACGGATACATTTGGTCCTCCTATCCATAGAGGTATGTTACCATATAACTTGTTGTCTCCAAGATCTAGACTTATCAAAATAGAACAATTTTGCAACGAATCAGGAATTTCACTGCCAAAATTGTTGTTGTTAAGCTTTAATATTTGCAGTGAACTTAATACCCCCAATGAAGTGGGAATATTACCAGAGAGATTGTTCATACTAACATCTAGAAACCCCAGTTTGCTCCCCACACTCCATGCATGAGGCAATTCTCCATAAATCTGATTACTCCTTAGAGACAAGACTTCCAATTGCTGCATGTTGCAAACAGAGGGAGGAATAGTGCCAGTCAAATGATTCTCAGAAAGTAACAAGGTTTTCAAATTGGGCATCATTTGGTCAATATTGGAGGGAATTGGCCCGAAAAATAGATTACTTTCAAGATCATGGTAAATGGCATTAGTGGACCACCAAAGTGGGAGTGGGCCCTCCAATTGATTATGACTCAAATCAAGATACTCTAATTTTGGAAATTTCAAATAGGATGGAAGGTTTCCACGAAATTGGTTGTAAGACAAGTCTAGTCGGATGAGCTGGGCATAATTCTTCAATAGCCATTCCTCTGGTATGGAATCCGAGATTTCATTACCACTAAGAGTGACGTCGCCCAGTTCAGTTTGTGATTGAAGCCATACCCCAAAATCAGGACCACACTACAAAATTAAACGTCATTAGCGAGGGTCAAATGCTGTCGGAAAAGGTAATTTGCCGTCACAAATACTTATTTCCGACAGGAAAAAGCCCTCACTGGGCGTCGGAAATTGCTCCATCGGAAATACTTTTTTCTCGACCAGCCGTCGAAAATGCTTCATTTCCAAGGCATGAGGCTCGTCGTTACTAGTTATCTTTCCGTCGGAAATGAATTTTCAAAATGACAAAATTATTTTATTTTCGACATGTCAATATGGTCGCAAATACTTATATGCCCGTTGAATATACTTTCTAAACGACGACATCTCTTTTTTCCAATGATTTTTTATGACCAAAACATTGTGTCAAAAAATGTTTTTCCAATAGTAAAATGTTATTTGCAAGAGTATATAATCGTCGCAATTACCATTACTAACAATTAAGAATTGTCAAAAATATGCATAAAAACATATTTATGAGGGTCAAGAGGCGTTGGAATTATATATGGGCGATTATCCTATTTGTCGGTAAAAAACAAAAGGATACAAATACAATTTTTTTTTTATAAGTTCAATAATATTTTCAATGGCAATTTTTATGGAATGAATTGTTTTATATTAATGAAACCATATATTCAACTACATATACCAAAAATCAATGTAAAAAATTTAAAGTACTTGTTACAATCCTATGATACGTCTTGTAACGCTAGTTTTCCATGTCCGCTTTAACCAACCATTGAGGAGTTCGAATGTAGAAGCGCTTCAACAATGAAAATCCCACCTTCATGACCTTGGCCATGTTTGATATGTTTCTTTACCTGCAATGACAGAGTAAATGTTTAGCAGCAACCAAATCCATGTAATTCATTGGAACCGAATGACCAAAAGCCTTGAGCATTGAAAGAAATTAGTTTTGAGACTATTAAGGATCAAATAGCAAAAAGCCTTGAACATTATATACTACATTCGCGTTTGAATGGTATCCTTCAAACGTAATTACTTTTTTCAACACAATAGAACTCATCCAATATGCATTACACAAGACAGGGAACTTGAATACTAATATGACCATTAGAAGAGCTTCCAAGCATTAAAGATACTTTTAATAAATAAGCATACTGTCTACAGACTATCAACCACATTACACTGGCCAATTCCAATTGCTCAATGGTAGTCGTGAGAAAAAAGCATAAACCCAAAAACATGATCGAACATTTTTGTTGAGATAATCATAGAGATCATCTACAATCTCAACCGGATTGGAGTGACCACAACAGAATGGATTTGTAAGAAGTTCTCTCATGAAGAAAGATGTTATAATATTGAATGAAACTATATATAAAGTTGATTAAAGAATTGCAAGACAAAATTAGTTAAACGAGAACAATATACCAAATTACAAATAATAGGGCTGGACTAATACCAGATTGTTGCCTTCCACGATGGCGTGCTTTTGAGAAGGAATGACTCGCTTAATGACACTCACCCTTGTCTTTGCCTTTTGTTATCATTACCTACAAATGAGATTAGAAAACTATTAATTAATAAATAACAGATTAGAAAACTATTAACACCCACCCTCGCTTGATGACAACCACCCTTGTCTTTCTAACCCATTTCAAATTAAAACAGATATCCCCTGCAGAGCCAACAACAAACAACATTACAACCAAAATTTGTGGTATTTCAATGGCTGATTAACATCACACTCACATCAAATCTTATAGCATAAGAAACAACCCCATTTCCTAAAATAAGCAAGTGGTCTCATCGAATTTCCTGATAAATACAATTTTCAAGGAAGAACTTGGATTTACAAGTAAAGTAGCAAATAACCCAGTTTCCAAACGCGTTCCAAAATGTCATAACCCTTTGAGAAATTTCATCAAACACTTGGTGGTCATCCTACGCTTAACGAAAAATTACAAGAAAAAACAGGTACTCACTGTTACAGAAGAAGCCGCGGACTTGGGTGCGCAGTCGACCGAAACTCAGCGCAGTTGTGGTGTGTAGCAAAGGAGCCCATGGTTTTCCCTTCTAAAGTTAAGTTCAGATCAACGAATTTTGAGGGGTTTGTTGTTGCAGAGTAGAAGGGAGGACGAGTTCGCCAGGAACTCGCCGGGTTTGCAATCAGAGATGGTTTTGCTTTTGATTTCGAAAAGGCGGAACTGGGCTCGGGTTTGCAGAGGTGGAAGCGTGTGGAAATTTTTGGATGAAGGCAGAGATAGAGAGCAACGGAGAAGATGGTGTTGATTTTGATGAACGAAATGAAGGCTGGAGGCTAGGGTTTTGTTTATGAAAAGGAAAGGCAGAGAAGCTACTTGAGATAAGTGAAAAGGACGAGAGAGTGCTAAAGGGCACTGAGTGCTCTCTTTGGAAATTGAGAGTTGAGTTTTTAGAGGTCCATGCCAAAATTTCTGCAGCCCACCAAAATTTTAAGGCCTGTTTGGTAGTGTACTTGAATCTAACCTTTTAAACTCAAAAATAATTTTCAAGTTTTAGGCTTTAAAAACTTGTTTGGTAGGACTATTTTCAAAAACTGAACTCAAGACTAACTCAAAAATATAGTCTATTCTCTAAAAACATAAAAATTGAGTTTTTAGAGTTTTTAAATTTAAATTCACTTCTTTCTTTTTTCTTCCTCATCCCCTTTCACTTCAAATCTATCTCTCTTTTCTTCTTTCTCTCTCCTTTTTTTTTTATCTTTTTCGTCTCTTCTCCAATTCGCTCTCTTCATTCTTTAGGTTCTTTTTTTCACCTATCTTCCTCTTTATCTCGTCTAATTCTCTATCTTCTTTCTTTTTCCTTAAATCATCTCTTACTTTCTTTCCTCCTCTCTCCTCTTTCTACATCTCTTGCTACCCCCTCTTTTTACATCTTTTTGTTATAGTTTAAGTCGTAAGATTTAAAAATTAAATTGGAAACTAATCAAGTTTTTGAGTCTTCAAGAAAATTGTTTTCAAGAAATGTTCTTAAAAAATGTTTTGAGAAATGATAAAAATTTTCAAATAGGATACCAAACAGGCCCTTAGTCTCCCGCCTCCACCAATTTTTTTTAATTGTATTGTATATATGATTCTTTTTTTTTTGGGTCCAATGTATGATTATATTTGAATTGATTGTTTTAGGCGATATGTGTTCTACAAAACTAATTTCAACGATCCAATCGTCAAAATTGTTTGTGTATACTCCGATATCACATACGTCAAAAATCGCAAGAAATAAATATTCAGAGATTTAAAAGAAAAATCACGATTTAACGGTTATTTTAGCTCCTATTATGATAACTTTTTGTAGCTACACTCCTCGACCCTATAAGAATACAATGAATGAATTTGATCTTCCATTTAAAATATTTACACTAGTGGATACCAAAAAATCTTATGTTATACTTAATAGAAGTATAAAATAAACTCATAGTGTTTGTTGAATCTATCATTTTGGCAGGATACGCATTATATGAAACTAGTTTCAGCGATCCAACCCTCAAACTTGTTTGTATATACTCTGATGTAGCATATGTCAAAAATCGCAAACAATAAACATTTAGAGATTAGGTAACGGAACGAAATTTTCAACGGTGATTAATTAAAAATCATGATTTAACGGTTATTTTAGCTCCGATTTTGATATTTTTTTTACAACTACACTCTTCGACCTTATAAGGATACAATGAACTAATTCGATATTCAATTAAAAATATTTACACTAGTGGATACCACAAAATCTTATGTTATACTTAATGGAAGTATAAAATAAACTCTAAGTGTATGTTGAATCTATCGTTTTGATGAGACACTCATTCTACAAAACTAGTTTCAACGATCCAACTGTCAAACTTATTTGTATATACTCCGAGATAGCATACATAAAAAATCGCAAAAAACAAACATTCATAGATTAGGTAAAGGGAAAAAAAATTGACGGTTATAAACGGAAAATCACGATTTTACGGTTATTTTAGCTTCGATTTTGATTTTTTTTTTACAACTATGCTCCTTTCCCTATAAGAATACAATGAACTAATTTGATCTTCAATTTAAAATATTTACACTAGTGGATACCACACAATCTAATATTTTTTTTCTAGTCAATGATCTTTTTCAACGACAACTATATGCCCTCATAAATAAATATCTATTTTCGAGAGCCATTGGTTGCCCTCGCAAAATAGATGGTTATTTTTTAAGGCCTCTACTTCCTCTCGCAAATACACAATCATTTCCGAGAACAAATAATCATCATCGAAAATAGGGAAATTACTACCGACGACCACTTGTTGCCCTCGGAAATAAACAATTACTTCCGACAACTAAAACATGCCCTTGGAAAAAATAATACTTTACCGACGAAAATAAGTTTCTTCGTAAATAAATGTGGCTCCAAATTTTCCCTCAAAAAAATAGCTATTTCCAACGGCGAAGGAACCCTTTTCCAAGGGCATTTTGGGTGTTGAAAATAGTAAACCTCTTGTCGACATATTTCTGACGGAGCATAATTTTTGGTCGGAAATAGCAATTTTTACGAGGGTATTTATAGGTCCTCGGAAAATGTTGGTAGCAAATGACCATTTTTTTTGTAGCGACAGTTTATGATATTAATTGTGTGTAGCTTGAATGGAGGAATCCAATCATAAGCCATGTGGAAAATGAGGGAGATGGGCTGGTTTTTGTCTCCTACACTAAAATCTTGTAACTGGGTAAGATTTATGAAATGGGCTTTCGTTAGAATGCCCTCCCAAAAATTAGAAGACAGATGGTGGGAAACTAGCTGAGAGAGTTGTCCCAAACTTTGTGGAATGAAGCCGTTCATAAAATTAGAATAGAGGTCCAAAGTTTTCAAGGACGACAAGTTTCCAATGGAATCTGGAATTGAGCCGTTCAGAAAATTAGAAGAAAGGTCCAAAGTTTTCAAGGATGATAAGTTTCCAATGGAATCTGGAATTGAGCCGTTTATGATATTAGAAGAGAGGTCCAAAGTTTCCAAGGATGACAAATTTCCAATGGAATCTGGAATTGAGCCCCGCAAATTGTTGTGATGAAGATTGAGATTCTGCAAACTTTTAAACATTCCTAAGGAGACTGGCAATTGGCTTCCCAGCTCACAGTAAGCCAAATCTAGTGACTCTAATGCAATATTTGGACAATTATAGAAACTCCTCCAAAACTCTTCTATCCCCCCATTAAATTCGTTGTGAGAAAGGCTTAAGACCTTTAGTTTGCACAAATTTCCAATGACTTTAGGAATTTGACTTTTTAAGCTTGTATAAGATAAATCAAGGTATTCCAGAGATTTGAAGTTTGCAAATTCACTTGGGAAAGGATCACCGAAATCATTAAAGGATAGATCAAGTGCTATGAGGCTGGTAAGATTAAAAAGTGATGCCGAGTTAATGCTCTGCAGTGAGAGTGAAATGCTTTCAATTTGGCATGAAGATAAGTGTAACTCTGCTAATGAAGGAAGCATATTAACAGCATACACCCAATTGACTCCTATGGTGCTAAGATTCACATTTCCAAGATTAAGGTATTTTAGAGAAGAGAGGCGAGAAAGCCAATTCAAATTTCTGGAAGTTAGGTCATAGTTCGAATTGAGGTCAAGAAAACTCAGGCTTGACAGGTTACCAAGAGAAGGGGGAATCTCTCTCCCAAATGACGTAGAGGAGAGATTGGGATATTGTAGAGTTTTAAGGTCCCCAAAGAACTTAGGAATTTGATTGCTATGAAAATCATTATAGCTTAGGTCCAGGTAATTTAAATGTTTCAAGCTCAACAGAGAAGCATTTCTCTTACCTCCCAAGCTAAACTTTTCATACATGTCCCACTCTTCATACGGATTCCGGAGGTCCATCTTCACCACATGACCGGTGCGGTTGTTGCACGAAACACCTTTCCATTGACAGCAATCGTGACCCACCCAAGAGGAAAGCCTACCAGAAGCATCAACAAGATGTCGTTTAAAGATGAGAAGCGCTTGTCTTTCTTCGTCGATGCATGGATTTGTTTTCACACTGCTTGAAAGTGCACCACCGGCCAAACAGAAACAGAGTTTAGTAGTACTCTGCATGTAGGAAGAGGTCAAAAGAAAAAGAAGGAAATAGTGAGCAATACTGGGGTGATAGTGGGTATCCATATCACACACAATTTTCTTTGCTATGCTTTGGTGAGGGATGATGTTTAGCTTCTAAATTCAAGAATTTATAGGAATAGATTATCGATGTAGATCGGGGAGTTGCAACGAAAGTCGTCTGATGGAGAAAAGAAAAAAGGGTAACTGAAATGAATGGATTGTGTTTACAAGTTTGCGATGGGTTCTAGAAATCATCATGCCGTGGAGACTTTGAATTAAGGGTCTTTGGAGTCCATTATGTGTTGTAGAAATTCACAACCTATCATCTTATTTATTCTTCTTTTCCTGTACTATAAAATTACGAAAACGAATTTAGATATGTTTTATATTTTGTTCGAAGGAAAACAGATATAGATGTGTCAGGTTGAACAAGTTTGCAAGTCCATCGCCTACACCACACTTGGTGGTACTCTCTACTTGGATATGACTGTTGTGTTGTTAATTACAAATTTTCTAAACAACGGAATTGTTATTAACACTCCAAAATCGTCATTGTCACAGAAGTCGCTTTCTCATTTGTTTTTCACTAATGAGAATTACAGAGATTTTTCTATGGAAGTTTCCATTATTGCGTTCAATTTGTCATCTCAACCTAACTGAGATGATAGTGGCTGTCCATTATTACGCACAATTTTCTTTGCCATGCTTTGCTGGAAATGATGTTTTTGTTTCCTATAAATTGTAGAAGTAGTTCAAACGAAAGTCGTCTGAAGGAGAAAAGAAAAAAGGGCGGGTCTTCACAACCCATTTTACAAGTTAGCAAATCCATTGTCGACACAGCTGGGACCTGAAGATTTCTAATTAACGGTCTTCAGCTAGGAACTGTTCTCTTCTTGTGGTGTAAAATTATGAAAACGGATTTAGAAATGTTTTGTGCCAACGAAAATGGATATGTGTGTCGGTATGAACAAGTTTGCAAGTCCATCGCCTACTCCTCACTTGCTGGTACTCTACTTGGATATGACTGTCGTGTCGTTATCCCTTTACAATTTTCTAAACAACAGAATTATTATTAACACTCCAAAATAGTCATTGTCATACTAGTTGCCTTCTTATTTGTTTTTTCACTAATAGGAAATACATATATTTTTCTATGGAATTTTCCGAATTCTGATGAAGCCGTGTAGGAGCAGATGATAACGAATGCATGATGGAGATGGCTAGCCACGGAAGTCTTGGCACTCTAATTAGTCTTTGGTGGAAAATCCATGTACAACGGAGACTCTGAATAGTTAGTCTCCTCCAGCATCTGTTAGAGAGTAGAAAATATATCATAATTGACGACAACAAAGTCCATTCAAGAACAAAACAAGCAAACAACTGAAAAAAAAAAAGACTTAAAACAAGAACAGAGAACATTTGTTTGAAACTCTGTTTTGTAGCGACGAGAGGTAGAGAGACATAATTCTGATGTTTGTTCAATAACGCAGTATTTTAAGTAATTTGTCGTACCAACTTTCCGAAATCGTTAATTTGTCATCTCACCCTAACTCCGTTCAATTTGTCATATAACTAATATTGGACTATCATATTTCGTTTCCTATAGTTTGGACTTTGGAGTGTCCCTTAAGCCAACATCACAGAGAAGGGGTTATGTGACCGACTATGACATAGTAATTTGGCTTTCTATACACGTTTTCGTGTGATAGTTGAAAACACTTATCTTACAAAGCTTTTTTGGAAAGTGACTTTTACACAACAATTTTAATTTGTCACATACTACTTTTTATTTCTAACCATTAAATTGAATAAATCAAACATAATCAATGGATGTATAAGAGCATCTCTAGTGAAGTCTCTAAATAAAGATAACCATTGTATAAAATGGGTATCAAACAAATATAGGAACAAAAATGAATCTTCAATGGATCTGAAAGTGAGTCCCTAAAGTACAGGGACTCATCGAATACATAGTGTATGTCTCACATATAGGGATTGTATAGGGACAACCTTGAGTGAAAAACGAAACCCACAATCTTAATTGAAGCTTTTAATGTTTTTAATTAATTAAAAAATGGTTAAAATAAACAAAAAAAAAATGTGCACATTGAGTGGAAAACTGGACTCACAATCTTAATTGAAGATTTTAATGCTTTTAATTATTTAAAAAATGTTAACATAAGCAAAAAAGGTGCTCCTAATCAAATTATCACATAAAATCATAAAAACTTCAAATTTTAAGGACTCTACCATTGGAGGCAATATTCCTTTAGAAACACATAGATTCCATTTTAAGTCATTAAATGAGTACTCAAAAGTGGTGGTAGGAATACCTAAATATGGACTTTCATTGGAGATACTTGTGTATTTATTATTTTCATTTTTTTTCCCTTGCTTTTATTCTAAAATTAGGAAATAGTTTCTGAAAAACTGATTTTCGCACTATTTTTTCTTCTTCTATACTTTTGTTGGACCGAATAAAATAGAGAAAAATCAAGGAACAAAAGAAATTTAGATGCAAAAATCATTTATGACCTAGCAAGTAGTCACAGTAAGTTAAATAGGAAAATATTATACATTTAGTATTACGGTAATGTCCCTCCACACTGTAAAAAAAGTCCCATGTTTGAATCTCAAGATTATGTGGCTTCAGCCCAAATTCCTGTTGTTGTATAAATAAAAATGTTACGCATTTGCGTTTGATCCAAAGTCCCCTTCACTCTCCTTTCCTCTTCACAGAGAAGAGATCCAAAGGCCCAACCACAGCGTGTAACATGTTTGGTCGTTGCTCACACAGGGCAGATCATGAACACATTCATGTAAACTTGTTAAAAAATAAAGCACAAAAACCTCTTTAACGCCAATTCAACATCAAATTAAAAGAAAATACCGAATCCTTTCTTTCAAATTAACGTCATCCAACAGCAAGCTAAGGGTCAGTTTCAGGGCACCTAGCGGTATAAATTGGACCGGAAGGGCAAAATATATGAACATAAAGTCGATAACTTGGCGTTTAACTTTCCACAGAAGCTCAAACCAGCTGCATCAGTGTTGGATTTAGTGGTAGCATGCCATGCTACTCATCTTCGTGGTTGGAGTTTTATCGAGCAGTGAGGGGGACTTTGAATCGGGATAGTTACTTGCTTCCACAAGATGGTTTGGTTAGCTGATTGAGCTACTTGTGATATTAATCTATACGGTAGAATATGTAACGTATATGTACTTGTGCATTACGTTTTGTATTATATGTTGGTAGATAGCTGATAATGGTGCCAACTGCACCTCGGACAAGCCAATTTCGTGCACATTTCAGAGCAGACAAACCTGTTATGGAGTCGAAAATCAGTTTTGATATGTCCAAGGTCTTCCTGCAGTGACGATCAGACCGTGTAAACAAGTACGAATCATTAAAATCAGACCGTGTAAGATTAATTAAGAGCTAATTTGGATCTATCAAAGGATGAAGGGAGATAATGATTAATCAATGCAATATGTACCATTAACAAGAAACTAGATTCACACAGCAATAGTAGGTCATAATTTCTTAGCAACAACATCATGTTGTTACACTTCTGTGAGAGAGATCATAACATAAACGCGTGCAACACAACAGACTGATGTGAATTGCGGTACCAAATGAACAAAAGATTTTACAATCTTGAAAACCCTAGAGTAGACAGACGCCATCAGTAGAAGCGCCACGAAATATGGCTTCTTTACGACAAGCTTGATCGATGCCCTTCATCGTGTTAGATCAATATGAAATACAAGCAGAATTTTGTCCTGCTACACAGGCTTCAACAACTGCGGGGGAAAACATGTCTACCAGATGATGCTGGAGTCTTTATCTCTTGAGTTGTTAACATTCTTATCTTCACCAGTCTGAGGCCCCGTTTGGGATTGAGGTGATTTTAAAAAAAGCCACTGTGAAAAAAAGCTGAGGGTCATTTTTGTGTTTGGTAAACTGAAAAAAAAGGGCTTATTTTGGAAGCTGCTGTGAGAATAAGCTGAAAATCAAAGGAAAAGCTGAAGCTGCTATTTGCTGCTTTGAAAAAAAGCCAGTTTTTTCAAAGCACACGGAGCTACAGTGCTCCTTTAATGAAAAGACACACTATCATCCTGCTTTTTTTTCCAAAAGCACTTTTACAAAAAAGTTTACCAAACACTCTACTGGCTTTATTTCACAGCCGCTTATTCTCACAGCACAGCCACTTATTCTCACAGCAGCTTTTTTTCAAAGCACAGCAATACCAAACCAGCCCTGAGCTGAATCGAAGTGGAAGCGTCTCCAATGGTTTTATCGCTGCAACACCTCTGAGATCAAGGCTAGAGTACTTTTCATATGTGACCTTCAAACTTCCCACTCTTGCAGCTTTGTGAAATATTAAGACCATCTGCAGTCTCTGCAACAATCAAACATCGATCACTAAAATTTATTCTGAAGCAAGCACTAGAGAATGAAACAAAGTTATTTACTTGTCTTTAAAGCAGTACCTGATTTGGGATACTTCATAACGAGTGTGTTTGCAGAGCAGCGGAGTCCAAGCCGGAGTAATCTGCAGGGTGCACCTTGCAACATATAGGGCTGCTGCTGCGCACAGCAACGAGGGCTTGAACCTTAACGGTTCATATTCAACTAAGCACAACTCGATAAGGTAGAATGCCAAGTGTTCAAGCTGCAAAACAGTCCGCAAAGTATCAGGCTGTTAGCAACTTTGCTGTTATCTAATCCATATCGAGAACTAATATCCACTAAACTCTGGCGTGTCAATCTCTTTCCTTCTTAGTAACGGTGTTAATCATTAATCAAAGTTTATGTCTGTTAGCCTTAGAAACTACTGAACCCCTTTGTTTCTGACTGAGCAGCCTTGAGAAATCTTAACATGAAGTCATATGGAGTAGGTGCATTAAGACGAAACTTCAGCTTTTTCAGAAAGGCTTTCTCCTAAAAAGCAAAGACTGTTTATCTTAGGACAAGTGAAAAGGGACTATCGATTGCAGTATTATTTTTCATCTCAGAAGATATGCACAAGGATATTTCCAGATTCTAACAAAACAGTCAGAGTCTGACTACGAAAAATACATACCATTCCAAGCACCTGTGCTCTCGTATGTCTCAGCTGAGATGCTATCTTTGACCTGCAATTTTTCTTGTATAGAATTAGAAAGAAAAAAAAAAAAAACATGAAAAATAATGCATACGAGTTGAGATATTGATATTTACCCTTGGATGCCAAAAGTCCTCATACTTTGATGCCAACAAGAGTGCAGTGAGACCAATTAACTGCATGTCATCCTTCTTAATTGTGACTTGGGAAAGATATTGATCAAGCAATGTCACCATGAGATAAAGAGTTTCTTGCATTAACTCGAATTTGTAGTGTACCTGTTTCCAGATGAACAAATCAAGGGGATAGCCACTATTAAACATCATGAAATGTAAAATTGAACAAGGCAAGACAAAAACGAATACAAAAACAGCATAGTTCATCAAAAGGTTAAATCGGTACTTCAATTAACCAGTTGACCAATATGCCTCGCATATGAGGAGCAATGTCTGCCTGAATCGACATGAAATTTTCTGGAGGTTGATTCTGTGCCTGCAGTTAAAGACAATTTAACAAAGCCAACAAGTCAGAATTAGAACTACACAAAACCTACTATCTTACCAGACTAAGATGAAAACAGTGGTATAGAGACATCATAACCATTACCTCAGAAGTAATACTGATAGATCTCATCAACATAATCGGAAACTTCCGGTTGATTGCAGTCGTCATCAATACTTGGCAGCTATTCCACCTTCAAAGCTTCAACATGGCCCTCTAGTAACTGCAAATGGGGCCAAGTGTGAATGTAGTTCATAAGTAAGGAATAAAGGCATCAATAGAACACGGTAAGCCCCCAACCTTTGATCCAGTCATCAATAGAGATGTGTAAGATCTCCTCCTATTTGATTTTCTTCTGGAAATGATAGTTGAAGCACTCTGGCTGCAGCTGGCTTCAGATGGGAGCTCTCCCTGAGTGGCTTCATGCTTTTCATGCTTAACGTTCTCAGGAAGAGAAGAAGTAGCCACTTTTTCAGTTTTGGATGAAGTTGCAGTAGCAGAAACTAATTTGTTTGGACCTGATGCACCCTTGGATTTCAAAGTCCTTTGCGACTCACGAGCCTTCAGTGTGGACAATGTTGGCTGGATCATAATAAAATTAAAGGGAAGATAAATAGAACGAACATCTATTTCATAAAGATCTAACATGCCAAGAAACAAAGTCAGGATGATGCAGTAATCTCATAGTAATGTAAAGCAATCACTCAGGCGAAGTACTAAATTGAATGCACTGCCGTAAAGCTTCAAGTTGGTGCCAAAATGGTTGCCATGTTAAGCAATAACACAAGTCAACAGATTTCAGGACCAAATGACTTTAAAAAAACTGACAGATGATTGAAGTACTGAAAGTAAAATATGGCGACACAAATGAAATTGTTTTACTGTCTGAAGTAGACAAAATTGAGCAACTACATTTCAGAACTGGTCAAACAAAACGACACATTAATTCTTTTTTCCCATTTGAGGAGGAGGAGGGACATGAGTTCTATTTCTGATTAGACTTACCCTGACAGAATTTCTTGGCAATACACAGACATTTGAATTACGCTGACCCCTGCAATCTCAAATCACATGCAAACTATTAACAGATAGGAATCTCAACCGTGTTTAGTTAAGACATAAAAGCTTAAATGATCATTCAACATAAGAGACATTCAATGAATTAGAAAGTTAATGAATGTAGTAATTCAAACTATAGTAGTAAAGAAGAATAAAATGAATACAGAAGCCCATCAAGAGTAAAAAACAATGTGACTAAACCAAAAACCAAACTCTCCAATGCAGCCATTCGAAATCTATATGCTGTAACTTTCAAGACCAGAAATTGTATTCGCATGTAGCATTATAATATCAATTCTTAGATACCAGGGGGCAAGAAAATTGATAAATTTTCCTTTTCCAGGACAATATTAGAAAGATCTAAAAATAACTGGGAGGAGCCACAAGATTCATAAAATTGGGGGTGAACTGCAGAATACATGTTCTTTGTTGTACTCCCTTATAGTTTTACTTCTGCATCTGCTGTTATTTGCTTTGAGTTCTGAAATTGACGTATTAGTCATGCCTGAAGTGAGAACAAACAATCCTATCCATAAAATGCAAGAAAGATGCTTCCATTTCATTCATTCAGAAGCAAAATGAGGTTTAACGGAATATGCACCAGTATCAGCAAAACCTTTTAACTGGCTTTAAGCGGGATAGAAAACTAGTAGTATGGATCACTGTCACTCACATAATCACAAAGATATCACTCACTCGATTCCTCAACAGATGGCTCCTCGTGGTATCATTACTCTAGATACTACTTTCTTGCCAACCGTAGCCTTAATTGTATTCCAAAATGCCATTTGGTCAGACATCATGTGCCACCCACTTGTCAAATCTTAAATATTCAAGGCATCTTACCATAATACCCTCTTTTTCTTTCAGAATTTCTACCAGCATTTTCCTACAAGCAGGAAAGCAAAAAATATAAATGTCCAACTTGAAATCCTACTCCTGTTAAACTGAACCGAGGAATATTATTAGAATGCATGACATCAACCTTCGGAATACTTGCTTCCTCTGGGACCTTTAGCACCGACAATGATTTCCTTTAAAATGGAGAGAGGAAATAGAAAATACATCAATAACAGATACAGATCTTATCCACAGTAAATAAACAAACATGTCTGCAGGTCAGATACCTTATCAGCTTAAGTGAAGAATTTGAAGTCCTCCTGAAAAAAAAGTTATAAGTTTAATCAAGGGTCTTTATATGTTTAGTTTCATAAGCACATGAGCCAGATTAGAATATTTCAAAGGCACAACAAACAAATTGCGGCACAATTTCTAATTTCTTATAAAGAGGGAAAACAAAGGTGGCTCAGACCTGCCATCTGTAACAATAGATTCGCGGTTTAGACCCATAGCCTTGGTCCTTTGATTCTCTGAAGGTGCCTTCAACTCTTTAATAGCTACAGTTTATCCGTAATAAAAAAAATTTCAAATGGTACAATTGCATCCGGGAAACTATCCCAGCATTTCTGAAGTATTAAAGCTTTCCCGCCCTTTTCCCTGATTGAAGTGAGACAAAAAACAATTCTTACAATTGGAAGAACAACAATATGTGAAATGATTGGCGTTGATACTCGCTAAGCTTGTCAAGAAAGACAAAACCCTGTCTCTGCGTTGTCAAACATACAACGGAACAGTGGAAAACAAAAACTTAGTTGACCTTCAAAAAGCAAAACATGGACAGGAAGAAAACTTTTTAAGTTTTGCAGCTTTTGTCCAGTTTGGGGGTAGCACTATATGAAAACTAACTTGAAGTACCCTGCTTAAAGGCTGTAAGTAACTATAAGATCTTTGAACCACTCATATGAGGGCTCTTTTGTTCATTTTCAGATTACAGAGAGATATCTACTGAAGTCAGTAGAACAACGTACTACGCAATCATGTAAATAAGAGAGTTACAAGGAAAAAGCATGCTAGGATTTAACATTCTTACCAGGAAGGAAAATAACACTCCATCCTAATCCACCTCAAAACAAGCAGCAGAATAAGGAGGTCGTTAGTTACCTTTAAAGAAGCTGTATTCTCCACAGCCGATACTTTGTTAACTGTTGCACCACTCCGGAAATTAAAAGCAGCACACAGATATAATTCCCCGGAAAAATCTAGTTAATTGCCAAGACCTTGCAGGAAGTGGGCAGATACAGCTAATATCTAATATTTTTTTGCCTCTATTTAGCTACATCATTGTACAATGCTCCCATTCTATTTGAATTGTTAACACAGTTTGCATACAAATAAAAATCCCAAGATTTAAATTCTGGAAGGAAGGCTTAGTTGATTTTAGTTCTAAAACAACTTACACATTGATTAAAACCATAACATTCGATAATCGAAACGAAATTGCACAAATTTGAAACTACAATTACCTGATCCCGGTATCAGCTTTGGCAGTGTCACTTTCTGTATAAACCTTAAAACATGAGACACCAACTGTTTAAAATATCGAAAAACAATGTCAGAAGTTAATAAATCACCTCCACAAGAACTTAAAACCAGCAGAAGAACCAAGAATTGCGGTTCCACACCCGATTCTGTCCTATGCCGAATTTTGGCTGAAAATTACGAAAAACCAAGCATGGTTTCGCAGATGTCAGAACTGATTTCATCCAAAAGAAAAACCAGAGAAAGAAATCAAAGAAAGTTATCCGGGAATCGAAAACCTTTCTGGATTTTTCCGACCTTAGCAGCCAACATTTTGCTTCTCTCTACAAGTGTCATAGTGCTCTGCCGATGATCCAATTTCTAGAAAAACCGAGAGAATTTCAATCAGTTCAAATTTCAAAACGCAGCCCTAATTGAATTGATTTTTCGAATAAATTCGATTTTTCAAGAATTACATGGAAACGATAGTTTGTCGATAGATTTGTAGGAGGAAGCGTACCTTAAACGACGTCATTTTGGAGATATCTCTTGCTATTCTCGGATTCTGATCTTCGGAGATGGAGCGGAATAAGAACAGTCGACCGTTGCAGAGGTCTGAGTCGTCTTGTTAAATCGGCTGTCTTTATTTTCGTTTTATGAAATAAACACGATTGTACGTTACTACCCCTTTCCTAATTTTTTTGGTTTATGCAATTGATAAGTACAAACTAGAAATTTTAATTAATTCCAAGTTAATACATAATTGTTTGTGGGAACATTTTTTTTATTTTTATTCAATACATAAGTTGCAAGTCCCATAAACCAAATACAAGGGAAACCACAAATATACATAGTACTATCAAACATAAGAAAACATTCTTTGGAAACGAGCCACTTTCAATGCAATTGCTAGTGCTACCTTGTCTTTGATGTTGTCGAAGAATTGAAAATATGCATACCTCCATGATGTCTTTAAGATCAATGAGCCGCAAACCCCCCAAAAGCCTACAATAAAACCAAGTACCATGCTGACATAGAACCACAACTCATCATTTCCACCTTCATTCATGTCTTTTGTATCCTTAGATGGGGAAGTGTCATCTCCAGGGCACTTAGTTGAGAGAGGAACGCCGCATAGCGATGGGTTTTCCATATAAATGGACGAATCATTGAGCGTTTGAAGCTGGTTTCCTGAAGGAATTCTTCCAGACAAGTTGTTGTAAGACAAGTTCAAGTGAGATAGTGAGGTTAAAGATGACAAGCTTTGAGGAATCTGTCCTGAAAGGTGGTTGTGTGAGAGATCAAGTGTTTCAAGCCAATGCAAGTTTCCGATCTTGGAAGGGATCTTTCCAGTCAATTGATTCCTAGACAAGTTCAAGGTACCCAATAGAATGAGGCTACTTATTTCTTCAGGAATTTCACCTTGTAAAGTATTTGATGAAAGATCAATGCTCTTTACAAGATATAGAGTATTATTGTACACAAGTTCCATTCCTTTTAGTGTCAGTGTGGCTTGCTCACCAGAAGTATAAAGACTATCAGATGATGTATGTGAATCATTGACCAGCGAAGCCAAATTACCCAAACACTTGGGAATAGTACCTGAAATGCTGTTGTTACTAAGGTCGATGATATGAAGTTGTCGAAGATTGCACAGTTGCTGGGATATATGTCCATTAAAATTGTTGGACCGTAATCGTACCATATACAACATGGATACATTTAATCCTCCTATCCACTTTGGTATTTTGCCAAATAACTTGTTGTCTCCAAGATCAATACTCTTCAATTGAGAACAATTTTGCAGGGAACTAGGAATTTCACCGTCAAAATTGTTGTTGTTGAGCTTTAATACTTGTAGTGAACTTAATACCCCCAATGATGTGGGAATATTACCCGAGAGATTGTTTTGACTAACATCTAGATACGTCATATTGCTCCCCACACTCCATGCAAGATGGAATTCTCCATGAAATTGATTGCTCCTTAGAGACAAGATTTGCAACTGCTTCATGTTGTAAACAGAAGGAGGAATAGTTCCATTCAAATGATTCTCATGAAGAAACAATGCTAACAACTGCTGCATGTTACAGATAGAGCGAGGAATATTGCCATTCAAATGATTCTCAGAAAGATACAATTCTTGCAAATTGGGCATCATCTGGTCAATATTGGAGGGAATTGGCCCGGAAAAGGAATTGCTTTCAAGATAAAAGTTAGTGACCTTAGTGGCAGACCAAAGTGGGAGTGGACCCTCCAACTGATTATGACTCAAATCAATCGACTCCAATTTTGGAGATTTCAAATTGGATGGAAGGTTTCCACAAAATTGGTTGTAAGACAAGTCTAGTAAATGAGTTGGGAAGATATCTTCAATAGCCATTCTTCTGGTAAGAAATCCGAGATTCCATTACCACTAAGATTGATTTCTCTCAGTTCAGTTTGAGATTGAAGCCATACCCCAAAACCAGAAGTTATATGACATTTTACGATATAAATTGTGTGGAGCTTGAATGGAGGAACCCAATCATAAGCCACGTCGAAAATGAGGGACTTGTTTTGGTACATGTCTCCTACTCTAAAATATTGTAACCGGGTAAGATTTATGAAATGGGCTTCCGTTAGATTGCCCTCCCAAGGATTAGAAGACAGATCAAGGGAAACTAGCTGAGAGAGTTGTCCCAGACTTTGTGGAATGGAGCCGTTCATCATATTATAAGAGAGGTCTAAAGTTTTCAAGAATGACAAGTTTCCAATGGAATCTGGAATTGAGCCCCACAAATAGTTTCCGGGGAAATCTGGAATTGAGCCCTGCATATACCGCATATCCTGCATATCGTCCCCACGAAGGTAGAGATTCTGCAAACTTTTAAACATTCCTAAGGAGGCCGGCAGTTGGCTTCTCAGGTCACAATAAGACAAATCTAGTGACTCTAATGCAATATTTGAACAATTTGAGAAACTTCTCCAAACCTCTTCAATCCCCCCATTAAATTTGTTCCAAGAAAGACTTAAGACCTTTAGCTTGCACAAATTTCCAATGACTTTAGGAATTTGACCTTTTAAGTGTGTATCAGATAAATCAAGGTGTTCCAGAGATTTGAAGTTTGCAAATTCACTTGGGAAAGGATCACCGAAATCATTAAAGGATAGATCAAGTGTTATGAGGTTGGTAAGATTAAAAAGTGACGTCGAGTTAATGCTCCGCAGTGAGAGTGAAATGCTTTCAATAAAGCAAAAAGATAAGTGTAACTCGGCTAATGAAGGAAGCATATTAACAGCATAGGCCCAATTGACTCCTGTGGTGCTAAGATCCATTTCTCCGAGATCAAGGTATTTTAGAGAAGAGAGGCGAGACAGCCAATTCAAATTTCTGGAAGTTAAGTTATAATTGCACCCAAGGTCAAGAAAATTGAGGCTCGACAGGTTACCAAGAGAAGGGGGAATCTCTCCTCCAAATGACGCAGAGTGGGGAGAGGAGAGATTGAGATATTGTAAACTTTTAAGCTCCCCGAAGAACTTAGGAACTTGCATGCTATAAAAATGATTACTGCTTAGGTCCAGGTAATTTAAGTGTTTCAAGCTCAACAGAGAAGCATTTATCTTACCTCCCAAGCTAAACTTGTCGTAAGTCGACCAGTCCATCTCTTCATCAAAAATGGAATTCGAATATGGATTTCGGAGGTCCATCTTCACGACATGACCGGTGCGGTTGTTGCATGAAATCCCTTCCCATCGACAGCAATCGTGACCCACCCAAGAGGAAAGCCTGCTAGAACGATCAACAAGATGTTGTTTAAAGATGAGAAGCGCCAGTCTTTCTTCGTCGATGCATGAATTTGTTTCCACACTGCTTGAAAGTTCACCACTGGCCAAACAGAAACAGAGTTTAGTAGTAGTCTGTATGTAGGAAGACGCCAAAAGAAAAAGAAGGAAATAGTGAGCAACACTGAGGTTGTAGTGGCTCTCCATTATTACACACAACTTTCTTTGCTATGCTTTGGTGATGATGATGTTTAGCTACTAAATTCCAGAATTTATAGGACTAGATTATCGATGTACGTCGAGGAGTTGAAACGAAAGTCGTCTGATGGTTAAAAGAAAAAAGGGCGGGTCTTCACAACCCCTTTTACAAGTTGGCAAGTCCGTTTTCGACACAGTTGGGACCTGGTTCTGATGGGTAGCAGAAATCCATATGCAGCAGAGACTTTGAATTAAGGGTCTTCAGCTGGGACCTCTTCTTTTCTTGTGGTGTAAAATTATGAAAACGGATTTAGATAGTTTTCCTCCGGGACCTGGTTCTATACACGTTTTCCTCTGATAGTTGAAAACATTTATCCTACATGGCTTTTTCGGAAAGTGATTCTCACACAACAAGGTTTGTCACACGTTACTTTTTATTTCTAACTATTAAATTGAATAAATCAAACATAACCACGGAATGTGTAAGAGGTTAAAAAGGGTTTGTGTTTATCATTTCTTTTTCTTTTCCTTTCTTTTATTCTGAAATTAGGAAACTATTTTTGAAAAAAATAATTTTCACACACCTTTTCTCTTCATCTATACTTTTTGTTTGTTCATGAATTTTGGACAGAATAAAATAGAGAAAAATCAATGAACAAAAATAAGCTGGAGGGTGCATTTGGGCAAAATCATTTATGACCTAGCAAGTAGTTACAATAAGTAAAAAAAATATTATACCTTTAGTATTACGATGATATCCCTCCACATTTTAAAGAAAGTCCCATGTTTAAATCTCTAAATAACTATATTTGACCTACTGTGTGAAATCGAGTAACTTTACTCTCTGAAAATCAAAATTCATTTTATTTTGACTTGTGAGATCAAAATCGAGTTCCAAAAGGTGTAGCTAAAAATAAGCCTAAAAAAAAATGTTATGGCATTTGATCCAAACTCGTTGTTCCTCCATCTTCAATCAACAACTTTATTTTCTCCACCTATCATCACTCCCCCGTTACCCCTTCCCTCTCCTTTCCTCCCACGGAGAAGAGATGCAGACGCAACTGTTGCATACAGCAGGTTTCAGCTAAATTTTTCTCTTCCCAAGTCCCAACCACAGCATGTAATATGTTGGGTTGTGGAACACCACCTTGCAAAGCCCTGGCCAGCTCACAGATAGCAGGTCATGGACACAATCATGTAAACTTGTTTAACGAATGCATGATGGAGTTTGCTAGCCGCTGAAGTCTTGGCACACCAATTAGTCTTTGGGGGGAAATCCATATGCAGTCAAGACTTTGAACAGTTGGTCTCCTCCAGCGTCTGTTAGGGAGCAGAAAATATATCACAATTGATAACAAATGCATGATGGAGACTTTGAATAGTTAGTCTTGACACTCCAATTACTCTTTGGTGTCCACCATCGTTTGTTAGAGAGCAAAAAATATATCATAATTGATGACAACAAAATCCAGACAAGCAAACAGAGACTTTGAATTAAGGGTCTTCAGCTGGCAAGTCCATTGTCGACACATCTGGGACCTGATTCTGATGGGTAATAGAAATTCATATGCAGCAGAGACTTTGAATTAAGGGTCTTCATCTAGGAACTGTTCTTTTCTTGTGGTATAAACTTACGAAAATGGATTTAGATATGTTTTATATATGCTTAATATTTTGTTCAAACGAAAATGGATATAGATGCGTCGGGTTGAACAAGTTTCCAAGTCCATCACCTACACTGCACTTGCGGGTAGTCTTTACTTGGATAAGACTGTTATGTCGTTGTTTACAAATTTTCTACACAACGTAAATGTTATTAACACACTTGAAAATTATCATTGTCACACTAGTTGCTTTCTTATCTGTTTTCCACTATTGGGACATACAGAGATCTTTCTATTGCATTTTCCGAATTCTAACGAAGCCGTGTAGGACCAAACGATATTGAATGCAAGATGGAGATGGCTAGCCTAAGAAGTATTGGCACACCAATTAATCTTTGGTGGAAAATCCATGTGCAGCCGAGACTATGAATAGTTAAGTCTCCTCTAGCGTCTGTTAGGGAGCAGAAAATTTATCACAATTGACAACACAACTGGGACCTGGTTCTGATGGGTAGCAGAAATCCATGTGCAGCGAAAACTTTGAATTAAGGGTCTTCAGTGAGGACCTGTTTTTTCTTGTGGTGTAAAATTATGAAAACAGATTTAGATAGTTTTCCTCCGGGCCCTGGTTCTATACACGTTTTCCTCTAATAGTTGAAAGCATTTATCCTACATAGCTTTTTGGGAAAGTGATTCTCATTTCTCACACATGTCACACGTTATTTTTTATTTCTAACTATTAAATTGAATAAATCAAACATAACCACTGAATGTGTAAAAGGTTAAAAAGGGTTTGTGTTTATCATTTTTTTTTTCTTTTCCTTTCTTTTATTCTGAAACTAGCATTTGCTACATACTTTGTGTGCATGAACATAATTTTTTAGAAAATGAGAGAGAGAGAGCGTGGGGGTGGAAGGTTTTTGTTTTTGGTTTTTTTTTTTATAATATTGGAGGTATTTTAACATCGCATGTAGATGAAGCTTCAATAAAAAACAGTAAAATTTGGACATGTGAAATTGCATTTTTTTGCCCATCATTTTTTTTGTGTGATAGAAGACTAATTTATCTTTTCACCCTCTTTTGGTTGACAAAGAGGATTTTATTAATTAGTAGAGATTATGAAACTATTTTTGAAAAGATAATTTTCACACACTTTTTCTCTTCATCTATACTTTTTGTTTGTTCATGAATTTTGGACAGAATAAAATAAAGAAAAATCAAGGAACAAAAATAAGCCGGAGGGTGCGTTTGGGCAAAATCATTTATGACCTAGCAAGTAGTAAATAAGTAAAAAAATATTATGTCTTTAGTATTACAATGATATCCCTCCACATTTTAAAGAAAGTCCCATGTTTAAATCTCCAAAAGTGTACTTGACATACTATGTGAAATCGATTAACTTTACTCCCTGAAATTCAAAATTCGTTCTACTTTGACTTGTGAGATCAAAATCGAGTTTCAAATGGTGTAGCTAAAAATAAGCCTAAATAAAAATGTTATGGCATTTGATCCAAACTCGTTGTTCCTCCATCTTCAGTCAACAACTTTATCTTCTCCGCCTATCATCACTCCCCCGTCACCCCTTCCCTCTCCTTTCCTCCCACGGAGAAGATATGCAGACGCAACTGTTGCATACAGCAGGTTTCAGCTAAATTTTTCCCTTCCCAAGTCCCAACCACAGCATGTAACATGTTTGGTCGTGGAACACCACCTTGCAAAGCCCTGGCCAGCTCACAGATGGTCTCCTCCAGCGTCTGGTAGGGAGCAGAAAATATATCACAATTGATAACGAATGCATGATGGAGACCTTGAATAGTTAGTCTTGACACTCCAATTGGTATTTGGTGGAAAATCCTTGTGCAGCGGAGACTAACCACAGCATGTAGCACGTTTGGTCGTGGAACACCACGTGCAATGCCCTGGCCACCTCAGACACAGCAGGCCATGAACATATTCATGTAAACTTTTTAAAAAAGAAAGCACGAAAAACCTCTTTGACGCCAATTCAATATCAAATTAAAAGAAAACATCGAATCCTTTCTTTCAAATTCCAGTTTTCTTGACACTCCAATTGATACAAATTTTCTACACAACGTAAATGTTGTTAACACACTTGAAAATTATCATTGTCACACTAGTTGCTTTCTTATCTGTTTTCCACTATTGGGACATACAGAGATCTTTCTATTGCATTTTCCGAATTCTAACGAAGCCGTGTAGGACCAAACGATATTGAATGCAAGATGGAGATGGCTAGCCTAAGAAGTATTGGCACACCAATTAATCTTTGGTGGAAAATCCATGTGCAGCCGAGACTATGAATAGTTAAGTCTCCTCTAGCGTCTGTTAGGGAGCAGAAAATTTATCACAATTGACAACACAACTGGGACCTGGTTCTGATGGGTAGCAGAAATCCATGTGCAGCGAAAACTTTGAATTAAGGGTCTTCAGTGAGGACCTGTTCTTTTCTTGTGGTGTAAAATTATGAAAACGGATTTAGATAGTTTTCCTCTGGGCCCTGGTTCTATACACGTTTTCCTCTGATAGTTGAAAGCATTTATCCTACATAGCTTTTTGGGAAAGTGATTCTCATTTCTCACACATGTCACACGTTATTTTTTATTTCTAACTATTAAATTGAATAAATCAAACATAACCACCAAATGTGTAAAAGGTTAAAAAGGGTTTGTGTTTATCAATTTTTTTTTTCTTTTCCTTTCTTTTGTTCTGAAACTAGCATTTGCTACATACTTTGTGTGCATGAACATACTTTTTTAGAAAATGAGAGAGAGAGAAGGTGAGGGTGGGAGGTTTTTGTTTTTGGTTTTTTTTTTTTTTTTTAATATTGGAGGTATTTTAACATCGCATGTTGGTAAAGCTTCAATAAAAAACAGTAAAATTTGGACATGTGAAATTACATTTTTTGCCCATCATTTTTTTTGTGTGATAGAAGACAAATTTATCTTTTCACCCTCTTTTGGTTGACAAGAAGATTTTATTAATTAGTAGAGATTAGAAAACTATTTTTGAAAAGATAATTTTCACACTTTTTCTCTTCATCTATACTTTTTGTTTGTTCATGAATTTTGGACAGAATAAAATAAAGAAAAATCAAGGAACAAAAATAAGCTGGAGGGTGCGTTTGGGCAAAATCATTTATGACCTAGCAAGTAGTAAATAAGTAAAAAAATTATTATGCCTTTAGTATTACAATGATATCCCTCCACATTTTAAAGAAAGTCTCATGTTTAAATCTCCAAAACTGTACTTGACATACTGTGTGAAATCGATTAACTTTACTCCCTGAAACTCAAAATTCGTTCTACTAACATTATAATACTTGAACACACAAATAAATACCTGAAATAAGAAAGAATGAAAACCACACGTAAGTAACAACGGGCACAGACTCAAAGCGACATGAACTTGAATGGAGATAGCAGTTAGGGAAGAAAAGAAGGCATTTTAAGGTCCAAAGTATGTTTATTAGACTCTAAAAATCTATCGCCAGGCAGCATATCTGTCGTCAATGACAGGACACTCCTTAGAACTCTTTAACCTCAATTCTGCTACTTATTGCCTGGAGGGGCAAAAAGTATGTGACTGAGGGTGCCACAAAACACTCAATTCTGCATCTTTTTGCCCAAACCTGCACCCACATCAATTACGATAGTGTACTCGAGGTGGATGTGCTCTCCTTTTCATTCTATTATAGCTTTTACACTCCACCTTCACAATAATGGGTAACAAAGGAAAAAAAGACATACTTGATGCATTAGACCACCATTCTTACCAATAGAGTAGCTTCAACTCTTCTAATTGCGATAGGGTGTGAGATCAATGCTGAAACGTTGCCTCCCTTTGCTTACCCTCTAAAAATTAACAACAAAACAGAATATCTAGGTCAATATCCAGCAATAAAATGAAAAACCATACTATTAAGAACGCAAAATCAAAACGAAAAACCATTCTTGTTCTTTAGTTTTTTACTCTCTAGCATTGTGAGAACGCCAGGGAAGGTTTTGGGAGGGAAGACTATACCATATAAAAATAATCCTAAATACCATACTTCTGAATTGTTTTGAAAGTGTTAAAAGAATCTAGCATTCATACAACTGCTAACACTGCATTTCCATGGTTAATGTAACATCCATAAATTCGTCTCTCCAAGTAACCAATATATTATGCATTCTATGTACATGGAGTTCTTAAGGAGTTTTACAACACTTGACACAAAAATGATCATAATGTAAGTGCTCATATTATGGATAGAGCAAGATACTTACAGCAATTGCTATGAGCTCTACCAGCAGTTCCTCCAACTGGCGCAAGGGCTAAAATCATAAACAAGAAGTAATATAAACAGTTTAACTTAATAAAATACTTTTTCGTTAAACAATGTTTATATATTCAAACATCTCAAAACAGGAGAAAATGCACATGAAAACAAGAAAGCATGACTCACCCACTGAGTTGGACCATCAACTGGCGCATTAGAAGGATCATCATGTACCTAAGTAACCAGAGGAAAATCTTAGCAAGCCAAAAGTCTGTATGCAAGTGTGTAGATACATGTGTGTGTGTGTGGGGAGGGGGGGGGGGGGGGGGTGGTGGTGGTATATGTATAAATGTATTCATAAAGACGACTACCCTGAGAAATTGTTGTATCAGCAGCTTCATGTGGCCATACAATTGACAGCTAAGAAAGATGAATTCATATAGCACAATATCAAATTTGCACGCACATAGTTGCAGATAAATGAGAATGAGAATTTATTCGCACAGCCTAATTAGTAAACTTCAACAAATTTGTTTGAAGTAAATCCCAGAAATAAGAATCATAATCCTAAAAAGGAATGAAACATAAATGCAGGCATCCGAAAGTTACTTTACCTCCATGAAAATTCCATCCACTCCAACAGCAACTGCTGTTCTTGCAATGCATGGTATTAATTCACGAAGACCACCGCTGGCAACACCTCCATCGTCCAACCATAGGAGAAAGTAAAGTTCAGCCATGATATGGGAATCAAATTTTAACAATTAGCAATATCAAATTAAAGTAAGCATATTATAGCTGTTAGTGATAAAACCAGAAGAAATATTTCATCTCCACATGCAATAAGATAAAGGCAGTTCCTAAATTTTGTTGTCACTCAAAAGCAACAATCTAACATGTTCTTCCCAACCACCCAAATTAAGTGATTTTTCACAGGTCATTGCTAATGTCAAGGAGACGTGAAAAGGAAATAATAATATTGGCTACAGATTTAATGAGATATATCATGGAATACAAGTTGTGGCTATTATAACCATGCGTTTCTAAGAGAAGCTGCAGAGCACTCTTAAGTTCTGAAAAACTATATGTAAGACTTTCTCACCTTTCTCCCAGCAGGCTGTTGCAATGCATGTGTGACGTCAGCAACCTGTAGTGAAACACTTGAGTTAGAAAGCCAAGAGTTTTCTGTATTTCAACAGGCAAGACTTCCTACAGAAGTTTCCTAAAGGTACTTCTCCAACCAGAAGCACTTCTGTCTATTTCAACCAAAAACTATAAAAAGTAATTTGGAAAACTGTTTAATTGGAGAAGGAGGAATGGGGGTAGTTGTGTACTTCCAGTACAAAGAAAACGAGATGGAAATTTTATTACAAAATAACAAGAGCACGGAAAAGGAAGAACAGAATGTAAACAGTAGCTTACGACAGGACAATTAGCTTCTCTGATCCACTCCAAATTGCGGGGATCAACAATTAAATCATCTATAAAACAAAGCAGAGATATAGGATAAATCAACTGAGCAGGACCAAATTATAAGAATGCAACATTAATTTTAATCCTTAAAAAATATGGAGAATCGATGCGTGAAAGTTTAAAAACATGTGCAGGACCAAATTATAAGAATGCAACAATAAAATCTTAAACAGTATGAATGGAGAATCAACGCATCAAAGTTTAAAAACATAAAGGGGAAAGGGGGAACATGACGAATTAAGCAATGGCCATGCAGAGAGTGGGGCAAGCACTAGAACATTGATTGAAACCGAAACAGACAGCCTAATTAAAGAGATAACATAGCTGCTTTAAGACTTACTATAGCCAAACATAGTTCCCCTCTCACAAACCATCACATTTGGGTTTCCAGCCAGTCTAACCTTCTCAGCCGAGTTTACCATGACCTGAAAATAATGAACACTTTAACATTAATAACATAAGCACAAGGATACCAAAATAATTTAAATGAGATTAGTTAGTGGAGTTTTAATCAATTAGGTCAGAGAGTGGGGGAGAAATGTAAATCACTCACAGAAGGAGCACAGAACTGGCCCTTCTTAATATTGATAATTTTTCCAGTCTTGGCTGCTGCTACTAGAAGATCTGTCTGTCATCATAGGAAGTCAGACTCACAAATAAGATAAGACTCCCGACTTATGGCATCCTTTAAAAACTTCCATTTCAACTTTGATTTCTTTCTTTAGCAACACATCGTTAAAACTTTGTCATGATGGCTGAGGCACAGGGTTCCATATTAACTTCACCTGGCGGCATAAAAATGCAGGAATCTGAATAATATCTGCAACTCTACCAACTGCTTCACACTAGAAAAAAGAAAAAAGCAAAGGAACAACGTGAGAAACAGTTCATGACCTAAAAGCCAGGTCAAACTTCCCTTGCTGTTTAACATGCAATGGTAAAGAAACAAACTAGGACGTGACGATGTGTTGCGCTGCATCATTATGCATGCAAGTATACATTCAACTGATTCAAGATAGAACATGTAAAGATCTATTGACCAAGTCCAGAATCCAGAAAATTTAGTAATAGAGTAGATTATAACCTATTCCAAAGTCTCTTTTTCTACACATTGTTTCATAGATATATAGTGAAGCCTACCCAAGGTACCCAAATGGTGCACACTTATTCATCAAGAAAACAGCGCATTTTCAAGCAAAATTTGATCTTCTTACTCTTAGTCTTAAGGCATTATCTTTGACACATAAATATTTAAAGCTGAAGTAAACAAGTACACTAAAAACACGATTTAAAAAAATTTCACCTGATGAGAGGAGATAGAATGCTCACCTGGCTAGCTTCATGTACATCTGTAATGATAGGGAGGTCAAATGCTGTTTTGACCTTCTCAAGGATCTGAAATAAAAAGGCGAAATAAGGAGGAATCAGTGATTTTAAGTTGAATGTCTTCTATATTGATAATAATACCGAGTTAATATTATGCAGGAGAAATTCTACTCTACAAAGAATTGACCATGATTTATGTATTCCCTTGTAATATTGCAGCTAAACTGTTAAAAGCTTTAGATGTATCAACACATGTCATCGAAGAACTGAAACAACACGGACTTGCAGTCTCAAACTCCGATGACACTAATAATTTACTTGAACATGTAACAATATCTGGTAAGTTCTCTATACTTTGACCATAGCAACCAAAGTGATTCAAATATAAACTTAGCATGAGAAAAAGATAATGACTTGTGGTCAACCTTTAAGCCTTCCTCCAAGCCAGGACCCCGGAATGATTTTGAGGACGTACGGTTGGCCTTGTCAAAGCTTGACTTGAAAACCAGTGGCAATCCAACTCTACAAGATTGAAAAACAAATTGTCTATCTTACCAGAATCCGGAAAAAAAATACACAAAGATTTAAATCCAATCTTTATCCCATTTCGACAAAATGCATAAATCCCAGAGACAAGGAGCATACTTCGTTGCAACACTCTTGATGTGCTTGGCCATTCGGAAAATGTGCTCCTCAGATTCGATCACATTGGGACCGGCTAGCAAGAAAAATGGTTCTGCTGCCTGCTAGGATTGAAATAAGAGAAAAATTAAAGTACCATCGGAGCATAAACCATCCAAATTTATATACCATTTAACGTAAGAATTTAAAAAATCCCAACAAAATTAAACCTTGAGCTGGTTATATAGCACCACTGACGAATCCATATCTTCCCACTTTAGCTGAAACGATACAACTGCAGCTACACATATCAGGATTCAATTATATCACGTAAATCATAGACTACATTGATAAAAAATTGTTATTTTAATCAAACTAGTAACCCGAAATTTCTAAAAAAAATTGAGAATTCAGAATGTTGATAGTCATTCGAAGATCCGGAGGCAGTCTAAATTTTCCCGCAATTTTCCGGGAAACCAAAAAGAATTTTAAACGAAACGTGAATGCACATTCGGACCAAAATGTAGTTGATTTTCACAGATCTATCAAGGAAAGAAATCTACCTCACTTCGATCGCGAAAACAGAGAGAGAAAGAGAGTTCAGTGAGTGATGGCGTAGAAAGAAGCAGAGGCGATATATTCCTTCACTGAAACCGTCGGCCGTATGAGAGTGTAGGTGCGCGCGCAGCTGTGTATATGTGAGGGCCCAAAAAATTTGAAGGGCCATGTCAGAGAATTGAAGGCCCAAGTCAGAAAATTGTCCGGGAAATTTTTACTTGTAAATTGGTGGGTTTATTTTCATCCTCCTCTTCTTCTTCTTTTTTCTCTGGTTTAATGAGGGCATCGTGAAGAATTTGTAACTTGAGTGATTAAGAGCATATGAATATGTAATGCGTTTTTTTTCCAGAGAGAGTGACTTCTATTGTTAGCTTCAATGTCATACAAACATATGGCTCATTTGAAAGTGTTTTTAAAATGATTGAAAACAACTTTAGTGAAAACTGTAGACATCGAAATTTTGGTAAATAAATGTTGATCGATAAATCAAAGTTTCAATACTCATGTATTACATAAATTTTACACGTAGCATGTAACTCGACGAAAAATTGAAATAAGTCGGAAAAGTCATCAAACATGACACTTGTCAACACCTGGCAGAAATGACTTATTTCATCTGGAATATTATATTCAAAATTAGGCCTTGGAAAATTCTATAAATAGAAGCCAATTTCATTCATTTCATTTCACCAATTCATATTACACCAAAACCTTGAAGCTCTGAAACTCTGAAACTCCGAAGCTCTCAAGCATCCAGGTTCCCGAAGAATCAAGAAAGCCTTCTTCGTTCTTCGTTCTTCCAAAATCAAGCCCCGACGGCCCTTTGGATCAACAAACTCGACAAATCCATACATCCAACCGTTCTTCAAGATCAACTCTACTCTTTTTACACTCTTAAATGCTACCGTAACATTTTAAAGCAATAATGCAGCATCGATCGTAAGAAAAAGTTATCCAGAATATCACAACTGGGCACAATTTTCTCTTTTCGGGTGAGATGTTGAAGAGTGAACTCCTATATAAAGCTTTTACTAGTTAACTAGTTCTACTAGATATTTAAACAATGCATGCAGCTGCATGCAAGATGTCAGCATGGATAACGGAACGTTATATAATATAGAAGAAAACTGAAGACATAAAATATGGACATTATTGAGTTGACTGACAAATATTAATGCACCGCTGCATTGTTGAGATTTTGCCAATGAGTACAACAAATTTCTCGCCTCCTCGATCGTTTTTCTTTATCTGTGAATCACAATTTGATATATATATATATATTACATTAACTCATTAAATTTATAAAACATAAAAAATTTATCATGACACATGTCGAACGGTTATTTTGTCTGGAGAAATGAATGTTTATACGTAAGAAGTCAAGTATTTTTCTAAATGAAAACAACAAAGATACAACACAAAATAGAGTAATAAAGGATGAAATTGAACACTTCGAACTGTCCGTGAAATTATAAACACTTCGACTGGTTCTTGGAATCTCGGTGAAATTGGATCTTTCATTTCGCCCCAGGATCGCTTGGCTATTGAATGTACACTTTTGATGCGTGGTTTCTTGCTATTAGTTCAATGGCGGGTGACTCCAAGATGGATCGGGACTACATTGTAACCTTGATATCCTATATTTGTTGGGAAATTTGGAAAGCCAGGTGTTGTGCGATTTTCAATGGTACCTGCCCTTCTCCTCTCGATACTGCCAGGAGGGCTGCTGAAGCGATTTCTGAGTTTTTATCCATTTCCAAGGTCCTTCATGTCTCCTCCATAAACGGGGATATCCCCGCTGCTCCTCTGGTTCGTTGGCACGCTCCTCCTTTGTCGGTTGTAAAGGTGAACTGTGATGCGGCCTGGTCGAGTGTGTTGCATCGTATGGGTCTTGGGGTGATCATTTGGGATTATCGGGGGTCTCTTTTGGTGGGTGACTCTGGCTCGGGTGTGGCATCTTCTTCCCTGGATGCGGAAGCTCATGCTGCTATCTTTGCCAAGAAGACGGCTTCTGTCAGGTGGTCTTTATTTCCTCTCATTCGTCAAATTTGGAGTCTTCAGCTTTCCTTCTGCCAAGTGGTGCTGGATTCCTTGCCAAGCGAATTTGGCAGCTGATTGGGTTGCCCCACAGAGTTTAAGAGGGATGTGTCCGGAAGTCTGGGTTTCCAGGCCCCCATCCGCTCTTGTGCACATCTTATCCATTGATGGTCTTCCCTGTCCTCCTTAGGGAGGCTAAGGGGCGTTGGGTTCCCTGGTTTTGGCGACTAGAGTTTCTTCTCCAAGTCTTCTTATCCTTTTCTAGGGTCCTTTTGTTGGTCCTTCTTGGGACTAAGCTTCTGTGCCTTCTCTCTTTTGTATGGTCTTGCTGTTTCAATGAAGTTGTTTCTGATCAAAAAAACAAAAACAAAAAAAAAAGAAAAAGGATGAAAATAAACAGGACCTTGGGGATGGGGTTGCCTGCTGAGTCCCGACAACGGTTGGTATTCAAAGTTTACTAACTCAGTACCAAAATATATGGGTGATAAGTTTTTTAACCCTATCACACCTCTCACCTTCACTCTCAATACAATTAGACAAGAAAGAGAGAGATGAAGCAACAAACACTTTGATATATTAAAAGAGTTTCAACTCGATTGCTGAAAATGGGAATGTTTTGAACGGACATGCACCTATCTCTATTATAGAGATTTTACAAGACTAACACATGTAAAACAAATTAAAGGTGTTCAAAAGTCTTTACATTCTTTAACTTTAGACTTTTGCACACATACACACATACTTTTAGACTTTTACACACATCTTTAAACTTTCATGCACACCTTTAAACTTTTGTACACACATTTAAACTTTCACACACACTCTTAGACTTTTGTACACACACAACTTTCGTGACATCTAGCAGCACACAAACATTGACATCATGTTTTTACTTGAACTTCCAACAACAACTTCAAATAATGCTCACAAATTAATTAACTTTCTAATTATCATCCATATAAATGAATCAAGTGGCAGTTTTGGACTTTAACCCATCCAGCCTAATGTTAGTGCTACATGCACATGCAACCTGTTTGCTTTATAAGTTTTAAAAGGCAACATATGTAAGTTAGGTCAGTTGGTTAAGACAATGTGTCTGCTCTGTCGCACTTAAGTTTAAATTCTCTTTCACGTAAAAAAACAATAGCTTGGAATATCGTCTTATTACCAAAAAAAAAAAGATCCAAAAGGCAAAAACCCAAAAACCTTTCACTATATACTGTTTTCCCACCCTTCTTTCCCTCACCCTTTTCTCATACCTCAAAGTTAAAACCATGTTCATTCTTCAGTTAGGTCAATCTTCCAACATGTTAAAGATTATCACAATCCTAATTATTCTATCTCCCGCTATAGTATTCGGAGACTGAACGTGCGAATCCGAGGACGCAGAACACAACCAAGAAGATGAACTCAGGTATAAATTAGGCTCCATTGCCTCCATTCTTGTTGCTGGTTCTGTGGGGGTGAGTCTGAATTGGCTAGGCAAGAAAATCCCAACACTGATGCCCAAAAATGACATCTTCTTCCTCATCAAGGCCTTCGCTGCAGGCGTCATTCTAGCAATTGGATTCGTTCACATACTCCCAGATGCATTTGACAACTTGACTTCACCCTGCATCAAAGAAAATCCATGGGGGAAGTTCCCTTACACCGGTTTTGTTACCATGTTATCTGCCACTGGAACACTGATGGTCGATTCATTGGCAACCGGGTACTATCAGAGATCGAAAGTAAAGTCCAACCAAGTGACGATTCATGAACTAGAAAGCGGTGACGATGATCATGCAGGTCATGTACATGGTCACACACATTCCACACAGGGCCATGCTCATGGCTCCGAAGAATTGAAATCATCGGAACTAATCAGGCAGCGTGTCATTTCACTAGTAAGAACTGTATCGAAGAAAAACATCTTATTTAAGGATGACAATCTGAAGTTCTTCATTGTTACGTAGATCGTTTTCTGGATTTTAACTTCCATGGTTATCTTGTAGGTGTTGGAGCTGGGGATCCTAGTGCATTCAGTTATAATCGGAATATCATTGGGTGCTTCCCCAAGTCGTGAAACAATAAAGCCTCTCATGGTTGCTTTGTCTTTCCATCAATTCTTTGAAGGCATGGGACTTGGTGGCTGCATCTGCTAAGGTAAAGCCTCAAACAATAAAGCCTCCTAAGGCGCAATTCAAGTCTCGGTCTGCAGCGATCATGGCGACATTTTTCTCCCTCACAACGCCGGTAGGGATTGCAGTAGGTGTCGGAATATCAACCGTTTACAACATGAACAGTCCGACTGCACTCATTTTTGAAGGAACTTCGAATGCTGCCGCAGGGGGGGATTTTGATTTACATGGCTCTTGTTGACCTACTAGCAGCAGATTTCATGAACCCTAGAATGCAAGGCAATTTGAAGATTCAGTTAGGAGCATACTCTTCGCTCCTTCTGGGGACTGGTTGTATGTCTCTCTTAGCCAAATGGGCTTGAAATCTGAGCAAAGCTTATAACTTGGCTTCTTCCCCCACCCCAGCGGGAGCGGCGAAGGTCATTCCCCTTTCTGATTTTTTGAACTGATTTCACGGACATGAAACATGTTTGTATTACAATGAATATGAAAACTCGGCCTTTGCTTTGCAAAATCAACGATAAGTATTTCCTTCGTTCTTTGGGAATCAAATGAGAGCACACTGCTCTAAAGCCAAAACCACGAAACATAATATTGTACTCGTGTTGATATCGAATCCAAGCCATACTGTCATCAGGTTTTGATTAAAGAATTCATCAAATCCACCAGAGCTAACTTCGCGTTTGCCATTCGAGGATGTATAATTATAAATGATCAATTCCAAAGAGAATTATAACTGAAGCACAGCAAGAATAGTTCCCGACTGACTGAATCTCCGTAGCACAGATCTTGCGGCAACCCCAGTCCGTGTATATCAAACTGTTCGAAGCTTAATTGCGCCCACTGCATCTTCTGGATTGATGATGCAGTGGGTGCAATTAAGCATCCACTTCCTACCAAAGCTCTTCTCCGCAGGACTCAAACAAAAGGAAACAGTGCCCTATGCAAGGGCTAGGAGGAGGAAGGGAGAGTCTCATGAATTCACACAAAAATTCAAACGGAAAAGAGAAAGAACAAAGAACTTGCTGAAACTTTTTAAGATTATGTACATGTTTCTTTAATTTCAGAGAAAGGTCAAAAATCAACAACTGATACATTTCCATATAACAAATGCATAACCAAATTTCAAATATCCTGTGTGTTTACATTGCTTTCCTTGGCATGAGTATTTTGGGAGGGGCCAGAGATCTTAATTCAGGTGCAGAACTAGGAAAAAGAGTGTTCATCTTGTGCATGAGGATATCGGACCTTGACGGAATCTCATTCAGAAGAAACTGTTGAACAATGGGTTTCTTAAACCACTCCATGACAGCATCTCCCGGTGCCCTCAGCACCACTTTGCTAACCTCGAATGGAGATTCCACCGAGTTCAATATCTGTGCAACCACTATCTTCAAAGTCGGTCCTGTGACCAATTTAATGCGTCTTGGGATGACACCATAATATAACATTCGTTTTCTGAACCTATGGAGAGTATGCACAACTGCTATCAGAGCAGCTCCGACTGATAAGTTCCTGACGTCCAGGGACCAAGCAATTTGCTGATCAAATACTATTGCCTTTGGGAAAAGCTTATTCTCGTAGGCAACTTTCCAAACACACCGGGCTCGATTTATCTGCCCCATAAGAACAAGGTAGTTGAGAAGAACATTAACAAAGTACTTAGCAGGTCCCTCTTCCAACTCATAATCAATACCTTGGAAAAATTCCCTCACAAAAGATAACACTGGTTGTTTCCTCTGTTCTGGGCCCGTGAAGAGTCCACACATAAAAGCATGTGCCTTGTATCTTGTGGCGCCAAGTATTGACATCAAATGCCTCTCATGCTCTTCTTCCTGGCATCTTACGAGATAGGCTAGAATGGATGTGTAAAGTATGAGGTCGACTTTTGCAGCAGAATTCACATACGTTTCTAAGAGAGGCTTTGCTGACTCATACAAACCACTCTTCATACATGACTCGAACAACTGTCTGATTATAAAATTATTTGTTCTAATCCCTGATGAGCCCATGAACCGCAACCACCGCAAGGCTACATCAACAGAACCCTCCTTGATATACACCATCAAAACATCGCTAGCGCTCACATCAACAGAATAACCCATCGTCTTCATCTCAAGCAAAATCTTGGCAGCCACGTCCACAAGCTTCTTATTAGCCAAAAGCATCAAAAGGGATGTGTAAGTACTTAGACCTGGTCTTAAACCTGCATTGGTCATTGAGTTATACAGCTTCATAGCAGAATCTACTTGTCCAGAGGCAGCATGCATTTCCAATAGACACGAATATGTCGAAGGAGTGGGTAAAAATCCAGCCTTCTCCATATCGATAAAGGTAGACATTGCAATATCAAGTTTCCCTGATTTTGCATGGGACTCAACAATCATTGTGTATAACCCAAAGTTAGGCTTAAAGCCCGCTTTCTTCATCTCATCCCAAAGTCTAAGGGCAGCATCTAATTTCCCAGCCTTTACATATGACTCAATCATAGAAACATACATGGGAGCAGATGGCCTGAAACCATAGCCCTGCATTTCCATGTATAACTTCATCGACGTGTCCAACCGCCCAGCTTTTCCCATTGAATCAACAAGCGATGCAAAGACATTAAAGCTGGGTTTAAAGTTCCTCCCTTTCATTTCTTGGAAGAGCTTAAATGCAGCATCAAGGCGGCCTGACTTTGCCAAGTTTGGTACCATCAACTCATAGGTTGATCCATCTAATGAGCAGCTTGCAGCTTGCATGGTCTCATATATCTCAAATGCCTTATAAGGTAAACCCTTATTCAAAAACAGCAATATAAGCGAATTATACGTCTGAGTATCAACTTCGAAACCTGAATCTTGAATCTTCTTAAAGCAACAAAATGCCACCTCCATTTTATCTGCTTTAGCCAAGAACTGAATGACACGGTTATATGCACCCGATGACAAAACCCCACTACTACCAGAATCCTGCACCATTTCATCAAACAATGACTGGATTCCATCAAAGTCCTTGCTTTGGTTTAGGCCATCAAACAACACCACATAACACTCATCACTCGGCAAATACCATGACTGCCTCTTAGCCCATCGAAACAAACTCAAAGCTCCATCACCATCTTTAATAACCTTCAACGCTTGAGTAATGTGAGTCATGTTTGGTACAAATTGGAGTTTGTCCAATTGGGTCTCCAATTCAGGCCCCCATTTCCACCTCTTTACAACCTCAACAATTTTCGCAATGGCAGAGGCATTCAACATTGGCTTTTTCAACCTGCCCACCATTACATGGTCATCGAGCCCTGGCTCAACCGATCTTATACCTTTCCCTGTGTAAATAACACTCCCTGATTCATCCAAATACTCAATCTCGTCAATCCACTCATCACTCTTCTTCCCAGAACAGTACGTTCTGATCAAACCAGGGCCTAAAGAAACCGGCTTTTCAACCAAATTCGTACCTGAAAAACCAGAGCTCCCCACAAAATTGGGTTTTGCCGGTACAGATAATCTACGAGAAATCGAATTGAAACCCGTTATAGAGCTCCATAACCTGATACTTCCTCCATAACTATGGATTTCATTTGCACACAGATTGGGGTACGGTGAACTGGATCTATGAAACGCAGAGCTGACTGTAGGGTTTTTGGTCAGTCTAGAAATACTTACAGGGCAGAGCTTCCTCCTATAAAACATTGAGTTTTGGGTATGCAGAACTATGATTTGGGGATAAAATTAGGGTTTATGGAGGTTGAATGTGTTACCTGAGTGCTGGAAAGATGCCCTCTTTGGAGCGGAGCTTAAACCCTAGCTTTCAATGTGCAGCTGCAGCAGACTGAAGTGTCAATGGGCAGGCAGCGTTGGGGGGTTTACCGTACTGTGCTGCAAATACCCGAAAGAAAGTTCCCATTTTTAATTGCATTTTGCACCCTGTGATTTGGGATAGTTAACAATTTGATCCCCATCTTTTTAAACTGACAAAATCAACCCTGCAGTTGCAGGATATTACATTAGTGCCCTGCTGTTATTTTTTTGGGAGTTTTAATGAAAAGCCCGCTGTACTGTTCACTTTAACAAAAAATTACATTTTTACCCTAAAAAGTCAAACCTGATACTATTCACTTTACCCTTTATTTTGTCATTATCATTCAAACTCAAAGTTTTCAAGCAATTTTCATTAGTTTTTCTTATTTTTTTTCAACAAACGATATATCTACATTGGGGGTGAGCTTCTCACAATGAGCTAGCAATAATGTGGTTCAAATTCGTCTTTGATAAGAATCGAACATAAGATCTCTTACTTACAAGTAAAAAAAAAATATCACTAAACTGTGGTACTAAATGACACCCTCTTGGTATTAAATTGTAGTTATTATCCTTTGATCTAGAAATGGGTGAAATGGTTTTACTTGCATCAAAGTTCGATTTATGTGGCGTGGCAGCGTGGGTCATTTTCATCACTTTATATATTTTGATAATTTGAGTTTTTAGATGATAAAAGTTCTGATTTATTCTCTTTAATGCAGATGTAACTTCTCATAATGTAAATGAGTTTATGAGTGTCACGTTACAAAATAGCAGTTTATTTAACAGTTAAATGGACCAGAATTTACAATAGTGTAACACTTTGTAACTTTAAGAGTGGTCATTGCCAATTTTTAAAAGATTGAGATCAAACCGTTGGTAACTCTATGAAATGAGCAAAATACGTATAAAAACTGTATATATGTAATAAACTAAATTAATTTAAAAGAATAATTCATCTGAAAAATACATAAAAATATGTTTGTAATCCCATTGCCTTAAAAAATTACGGCCATAATTACATATTTTATCTCTTTGCTCACGCTCATCATTTTGGAAATAAGTAAATATTTGATTTATAAATATCACCACAACAAGACTCCTGTCTTCTGCAATTTGATGGCACGTAAGAGTCTACTAATAAGCCTTGATACGAAAAACTTCAGCCAAAAAACGAATACGCTCTTAATAATTTGAGCTACAAGTTAAGCATCGATTAGTTACGCTTTTAGATTTGGTACGAGGACGGAAGCAAAGCAGGCTAAAAAGAACATGGAGAGGAGTTTGCTTGTAAAATCTCAGGAGTCTGACGAGGCTGCCTTTTGGTTCATGTTCTCGATCTACGAGTTCCCTTTTCCATGTTTAAGGAATAAGACATTGCCTAGATTAGTTTCTTAATTTGTCAGGAGAGGATTAGAGCACTAACCACCCTTCAATATTATATAGAGATCAAAGAGATTAAGTATATTAGTCCTTGGTGGGGACTGGGGGCAAGGTGTTGAGAATAACCCATTGAAGCAATTTGTGTTAAAGGCATTTTATGTTCCAGAATCAAACCTGCAAAATGTACTTTTAACCAAATATGTACAAACTATCTGAACAAAGCAAATCCGAGCCGGTATGCAAACAGAACAAAATTGATTGTAATAAGCATTCTTTTGATGCAAAGTGATATTGGGGCCGGGGATTGACCGCAAGAGCTCGAATGCAGAGTAAACGCTTTTAATCGCTTAAGCTACGAAACCTCATACTGTATAACAAACATTCTTAGACATTAAACAACCAGTTCTTCATTTGAATAATGCATATCCACCTTGTACCTTGTACCTTAGTATGGTTTTCCCCACTGAGAGAGAGAGAGAGAGAGAGAGAGAGAGAGAGAGAGAGAGAGAGAGAGCTTTGAGTAGAAAAGAAGCAACAGAAAAGGGCCGAAAAAACCACACTTTTGATTTTTTTCCAAGATCAAGCAAAGCATATATTCCAGTTTTTCTGCTTGCAAAAAAATAATATTAGCGAGGAGGCAAAAGGCAGATGTTGTACACGCAGAATAGTTCACATTCCTACAAAATACACCTTCTCTTAGAGCCCTTTTTTGTAACCCCTCAATGACACATATCCAAGCAAAGTGACTGAAAGTTGGACTGCTAGAGAATCAATCTTCATAGCCACTTGGCTCCCATTGCCCCTTCTTTTGGACAATTCTAGGGAGCTCCAAGCGTGCTTCATCTGCCCGTTCTTTATATATGTAAAACCTCCTTCTCTTCATCCCTTCCTGCTTCCCGTCTTCGAGTTTTCTGGGAGTTGGAGCAAAAGGAGAAGACACGAAGAAGAAGCAGCAGATTCGACTGGAGTTTCAGGTTCCGTTGCAAGTCATGGAAACGACTAGAAATCACACAAGATTTTTCATTCCTTTTCTCTATCTGACTCTAGTTGCAACTGTTTCCTTCACTCAATGTGGTAAGTCTCTCTTCCTTCAATGATTTATATACTAAACCTCGCTTTCAGAGAAGCATGGATGTATCATCTACCTCTTGCCATATCTCTCGTCACGTGACCAGATCGAGTAATGAAAGATACAGCAAGAGGCGATGAATTTTAAGTTCGTTGACAAGTCTATATGTTTTGGCAGAGGCAATCAGATCAATAAGATTTTTAAAAGGCACTCTTCCAGGTCCAACAAAGCACAGCAACTTGTTTCTTAGTGCTGCAAACAAATTGAACTTGATCAACCGCATTAACTTTCCATTGGAGGGATCAAAGGACATCCAACCCTACGGTGTGGATTCACCATTCACATTGCCACCTTACGATTCATTACCTCCAATTTCCTTGCCTGAAAACACACCTCCATACTATACAACTCCGCCCAATACCCCAGAAACTCCCCCTACAACTGTCCCAACACCTTTTGTGTTATCACCACCAAGTATCCTTCCTATCCAAATCCCACCTCCAAGCCCAACAAGCATTCTCCCAGGCCCACCAGAATCCATCTCCACCCCTAATCTGCCCGGTACTGTCCCGAGCCCGACGGGGTTTGTACCTACTCCCACTATCTACATCCCAAGCCCACCTTACTTCGAGCCCAGCCCGCCTAGTCTTGTTCCAAACCCGCCTTCTTTTGGGTTTCAACCAAGCCCGCCTGTTTTCCTACCTCCCATTGTGTTCCCTCCGCCCACTATGCTGCCGAGTCCAAGACGAGGCCCGACAGCGCCTTTGTGGTGCGTGGCAAAGCCGTCTGTGCCCGACCCCATCATTCAAGAAGCTATGAATTATGCTTGTGGGTCGGGAGCGGATTGCGCTTCCATCCAGCCCAATGGGCCGTGTTTCAATCCAGATTCATTGTTGGCCCATGCCTCCTACGCCTTCAATAGTTACTGGCAAAGGACTAGGGTTGCTGGTGGCACTTGTTCATTTGGAGGAACTGCCATACTAGTTACTATTGATCCAAGTAAGAGAGTACATATTTCAGGAACTTCACTAACACTAAATTCTTGTTTTCATAAACTGATTTGTTAATGAACTGCCATACTAGTTACTATTGATCCAAGTAAGAGAGTACATATTTCAGGAACTTCACTAACACTAAATTCTTGTTTTCATAAACTGATTCGTTATTTTGGTAATGTCTTCACAGGTTACGATGGATGTCGGTTTGACTATTATTGAGATCAAAAGAGACTCGATTGCAATCGTCATTTCTTTCATTTTCTTTTCTTTTCAACTGAACGAAAGGTACAAAATTTCGGTACATGTAACCCTAATCGAAACAGAAATTTTGTAATTAAAATGTAGATTACTTATCGTTCAGTTATGAATTATAGATTTCAATAAATTTTTTATGTTACATATTGTAGTGTTTTATCTTTTGTGCACACTTTGTTAGGTTCAAGGGCAATGACTCGACAGAACATATCATGATAAATTTGCTTTTGCTAAATTGCCCTTCGCTTAAATTAGAGGCTCACTTTTATGCCTTTGATTTGTCAACCATTAAAGTTGGAATAATAAAACAAATAAACTTTACGAAATAGTAATAAAAAAGAAAAGGTTCAACGAATAATATTTGATAAGGTGAAACCAAAACACGTGAAATAAGATAAAGTCGGTTTAGTGGCGTATTTAAGAATCATATCTCATAAGTTCTTAATGCATGGTTAAAAACTTTTTTTAAGACAAAAACAGTTTTATCAATGATGAATTTATTCGAGCATTCATGCTTGTTGATATTTGAGTATAACTTATTTTTATTTTTTGATTAGACATTTCATTGAACACGGGGTGATCATTGTTGGTATTTAGACGATAGGGGTGGGTTCAAAAAACTGAAAACCGAAAACCAAACCGGACCGAGCCCGAAAAAAACCGAACCGAAAAAAAAACCGAACCGAAACTGTCAAACCGAACCGAACCGAATCTGGTCAGTTCGGTTTCGATTTTTGAGGTTCGGAAACCGAACTGAACCGAACCGAACCGATATATATATTTAATTATTTTTTTCAATATTATAAATAGTTTAGTCATACAATCATAACAAAACAAAACCTGTTGCCAAGTTGGTTTCAGGGTAAATTTTCAAGTTGCAGCACAAGTGTTCGAACCCTCATGCCTCCAACATTTCAGAAAAGTTTTTTAATTTTTTTGAGAAATCAACAACACCCTTTTAAATCAACAACACCGTGAGCTTCTTCTTACCGTTTCGAGCCCCAAAAATCAAACGCCCTTCCTTGCGCCGTGAGCTTCTTCTTGCCGTTTCGAGCCCCAAAAATCAAACGCCGCGGCAAACAGGCGCTGAAAAATGGATGGGGGGAGTTCCGGCGCTGCTTCCGACGCTGCAATCCAAACCCTATGAACCAGAGGATGGTGCTTCGGCGACCTCGAACAAGTGAAGGCGATGGAGTCCCCGCCAGATGGGTCTCAGCAGACCTCACAAGGTCAGCAATGGAGTCCCCGCCATATGGGTTTCTCTCTTCTGCATTGCCAGCTTCTTCCTTGGTGTTCTTGTTGTCAACAGGTTCTCTCTCTCTCTCTCTCTAAGATCTTGTGCTGAGGTGGTTCTCACAGCTTCTAGATTTGCTTCTCAGTCTAATGGGGATTGTAAATTTTCATTCTTTTAATGTTGTTTGCTGCAAATGAGCTTTCTTTTTTTCGACCATTTTGCTGCTTTTTGCAAATGATGCTCTGGTTTCTGGATTCAAGTTCTATTGGCACCATTGTTTGAAATTTAGGATGTTTGCTATCTATTTGGTAATTTTGAATTGTACTTACGTTTCCAATTGGACTAATGGATGCTAAATCTTGGTCGTAATTTAAAGTTACATGAATTGGCGTAAATTGCAAAGTAAGACACGATTAGGTATGGAAATGGGGACCAATGAAAGTTTCAGCAACACCAATGAGTATATAAGAGTCTTTATTTGCAAGAAACTATCTCAAGCAGTCAAACCCAACATGTAATGTCGTTGTAACCCTTCATTAACATAGCATAAGCCTAGAGTTGATTGGAAATGAGAAGCCACACATTTTCTGGTATGATAACAAGCTATTATCCCTCTGTAAATTATCTCATGTATGCAGGATGGCGCAGCTGTAACCGGTCTTGGTACTCCACGAGAACTTGGATCAAGAGACCTTTCCAACTTTCTGTCGTCTTTGAGTCACACCTCAGTACAACATAAACCTGATGTTTATGCCCAAACAAATATCTATGACGAGCATCAGCGGTCACAATGGGCATGGTGTGTGTGTGTGTGTTGTGTTGTGTTGAATAACCGAAAAAGGATGACTCTGAAGTGACTTTGAATGTAAACATTCATATTTTCATTTTTTTTTAAATTTTTGGAGGAAGAAAAAAAAAAACCGAAACCGAAAGGATGACTCTGAAGTACTTGCACCTCCTTCTGATGGTAAACTTTATAACCAAAAGGATGATGGACTTCCCATTGACATTAAATTACCTGTTAAGCACATCTTGATGGGTCTATCTTATGTTTATGCACTTCTATTTGCATTCTTGATGGGTCTATCTTATGTTGGGGTTGTTTTGCATTTGTTGGAGAAAAAAAAAAAAAAACCGAAAAAAACCGAAACCGAACCGAAAAAAAAACCCAACCGAAAAAAACCGAAAAAAATTTGAGCCGAACCGAACCGAAATTTCGATTTTGGCAAAAAACCGAACCGATTAAAACTGAACCTAGCCCTATTAGACGATCTGAATAAAATGATAAAGATTGAAAATCAAAGAAACAAACAGAGTGCATAGAGCTTTGGAAACAGAGGGCTGATGCTTTTTATAAAAACAGAGATTTGATCTTTTCATTCAGATATTTCTGATATATATGGCTCAATACATAAGCCGACTGAAATAATTGGGTCGACTGATAAAAGCAACCGTCAACCCTTTTACACAAAATTGAATCTACTGAACAACATTACAGATTACATAAAATGACATCAGAAATTAGACAGCATACAGAAGCAAATGATTAACTTTAACATCATTATCTTGCTTGTCTAGTAATTATCAATACGGCTAGGTGTCATGCACCCGCCCACACCCAGCCTATAAATTTGGACGTTTCCCTCCATATTTACCCACCTCACTCGCTAGTCGCAAAAACCCTGAACCTGCCGCCTTCCTCCCCCTCCATCGTAACCACCGCAATGTCCGCCTCAATCTTCGAAGACGGCTTCTCCTCCGAGCGCCTCTTCAACCAGGGCTACTCCTACACCTACGATGACGTCATCTTCCTCCCTCACTATATCGACTTCCCCACCGACTCCGTCCATCTAGCCTCCAACCTCAGCCGCCGCGTCCCTCTCTCGATCCCCTGCGTCTCGTCCCCTATGGACACCGTCACGGAGTCCCACATGGCCATCTCCATGGCCGCACTCGGCGGCATCGGCATCATCCACTCCAATTCGACGTCGTCCGAGCAAGCGCACATGGTCCGGTCCGTCAAGTCCCGCCGTGTCCCGCTTCTTTCCAATCCCGTATTCAAATCCCCAAGCGATCGAATCCAATCCGACGACGTTTTCGACGCTGCCAATCCCTACGTCCTGGTTACCGAGAGTGGTAGCCCCAGTTCGAAGCTTTTGGGGTACGTGGCTGGTAAGGATTGGGTGAAGCTGGGGGACAAGGAGGTGAAGATATACGATTACATGGTGAACTGTACGGACTTCACGGTGCCGTGGAGTTACGATTTGGGGGCGATTGGGGAGTACATGGAGCAGAAAAAGCGAGATGTGTTGGCAACTGTGAAGGACAACGAGGTTGTGGATGTGGTGGCGAAGGAGGAGGTGGAGAGGATTAAAGGGTACCCCAAATTGGGGGTTGGGACGGTGGGGCCCGACGGGACATGGCGTGTTGGGGCGGCGATCGGGACTAGGGAGTCGGATAAGGAGAGATTGGAGGAGTTGGTGAAGGCAGGGATTGATGTAGTGGTGTTGGATAGCTCTCAGGGGAACTCCATTTATCAGATTGAGATGATAAAGTATGTGAAGAAAATGTACTCGAATTTGGATGTAGTTGGCGGGAATGTGGTGACGGTGAGTCAGGCGCAGAATTTGATTCAGGCGGGTGTTGATGGGTTGAGGGTTGGAATGGGATCTGGCTCAATTTGTACCACTCAAGAGGTCTGCGCCGTCGGCCGCGGACAGGTATAAAGATGCCTTCTTTTTGTTTACTTGTTTGTTTTTGTGATTGATGCTTTAGGTTGCGTTATCATTGGTGGTGGCTAATTGAGGCTTATTAGAATGTGGGAGTGTTGAAAGTTATGATATTTGTAGTAATTGGTTAAATTACTACAAATTTTTAGTGGATGATAAATGTTTGAGTAAGGATTTGTTAAATCAATGACATTGTGCCTACTGAACAATCGTTGTTTTGATGGGTGCTTTACTCTCTTGTTATTAGATACTTGGAAACATAGAACTTCGAAAACAAAGGTTTTTACCTTACCTTCTGGTAGTGGTATCAACAACCGTGTAGTTGATTAACACGGTGTAATTTGTATTAATACATTTTGAATACTTTGTTTGACAATTTGTTCTTTGTAAGGGTTGCTGATAGCTACACCATTTTACAAAGTTGTTTTGATTTTGGTGATATGTATCAGGCAACTGCAGTTTACAAGGTGGCATCTATCGCTTCACAAAGTGGTGTGCCTGTGATTGCTGATGGTGGCATTACCAATTCTGGACACATTGTGAAGGCTTTAGTCCTTGGGGCTTCTACTGTCATGATGGGAAGCTTCTTAGCTGGAAGCACTGAGGCTCCTGGGGCTTTTCTGTATCAGGTATGTCTGGGATTTACTCATGTTTTTATTGCCAGAACAGATATACTGCTTGTACCATTAGTTATAAAATTTACTTTCACACTTCTTCTCTCTTGTATGAGTGTTTACTTCAATACGTCTTTTCAGTTCTTTGATGACTATTTGAGCAGCTTAAGGAGTTTATTAGGCAGATTTACGAATACTGAATCACAGCTGTGGTGGTAAAGGAACTTTCCTAGAAGATGTGTGTCTCTAAGTTTGTTAGACAAATTATTTCTCATCCTTTTTTGGACTGCATCAATATTGTTCGACAGATCAGTTTTACTAAATTGATGTATTATGGTTTGCCATCAATATTTTACATCTTTAGGTATGCCATTCGTATGTTTGCATGGACTCTCTCCCTGATGATCTGAACTTAATAAGTTTGAAGCCTACATACAGTCAGGGGTTTTGGACTCCTTCAGATTAGCTCAAGTGGTGAGAGTAAGTGGCAAAATTGGTCAGGACTAGGCTAGGTAAGGGTCCGGTTCCCTGAAACTGTGATTGGATTTTTCATGGATCATATCCAAGCTAAACTTACTGGGTACTGTATTGAGCAGAGTATTTCATGTCTGTGTGTGTTTTTTTTTAATGGTGGTTATCTTATTACGAAATTGATTAAATTTTCTTAATTTTGAACTAAAAGCAAAAGTTGTATACATATTAGAATGGTATTTCTTGTCATTGTTGATTATCTTTCAGCATGCTTAACCTGTATTAAGGAAACAGTGTGATATAAGTGATTTCATGTTTTCTATTAGAATGGTTGCCGAGTCAAAAAATATCGAGGCATGGGATCTCTTGAAGCAATGACAAAAGGGAGTGATCAGAGGTACTTGGGGGATACAGCTAAGCTGAAAATTGCACAGGGGGTGGTTGGGGCAGTCGCAGACAAAGGATCTGTTTTGAAGTTCATACCATACACAATGCAAGCTGTAAAGCAAGGTTTCCAAGATCTTGGTGCTTCTTCACTGCAGTCTGCTCATGACCTCTTAAAATCAAGCATTTTAAGGCTTGAGGTAAGTAGACCATTTTGCATACGTTGTTGTGTTATTCATGTCATCATTATTAAGGATGTCATTTTAGTTGTATGCCGTAAATGAGAATTGATGTTGTAGCCAATGCTTCTTTCGATAACTTACTCTTTCATAGTCCGTTCCATTATCTGTTGTATTCTGGTTCGTCACTCTCAAGTTAAACTCCCGAAACAAGTGGGGAAGAAATCTATTAATCTAGAGTGTTATTGGGTATCAGTGTATCACTCATATACAGACACTTATTTACTTATAGAGAAGAAGCCTGTAACCTCTCAGGGTCTTCCATCTCCCCACTTCTTAAATAGTTTTCCAGCCCCATCTATCACCTCAAGGAAAAGCTCACTCCATGATTACCTTGTTATTGCTTATGGGACCTGAGATATTATGACGGTCATATCAAGAACTCATATGGTTTCTCAATCAGTTGACAATATATTTTTCTATTTATGCAGGTAAGAACAGGAGCAGCGCAAGTAGAAGGTGGAGTTCATGGTCTGGTTTCATACGAGAAGAAATCGTTTTGATGGTTATCTTTTCAGCTTTTCTGATTCCTACTAGTGACTGCTGTCTCGGGGGATTGGGAACTCTTCCTTGTTCCATTCTGCAACCGATATCTCCAATTTAGCATGAGTAACAAGGATCGAGCCTGCCAAACTGCTAGCGGGTTTTGCAAAAATTTTGCTGAGCGGCGAAAGTTTTGGTCTCAGACGGTTCTCTGGTTTTTTGTTGGTTGCCATGAGAGCTTCCATATCTGCCTGCATTTGGTTGACTCTGCACTTTAAGTGTGGGACACATGACTAGCTAGAATTTGTCTGAGTTTTGTTTGTTACTAATTTAATGATCAACGAAACTAAACAACTTTCCATTAGGAGTGTATTATGAATAATGCAGTTTCAATTGTTTACCACATGGTTTGTTTTTTGTTCTCTTATTTTTTAATATAGATTTGCACCTTTACCTGTTGTACTTTTATGCGCAAACGGAAGCGAATTATAACAAAGTACCAAATATCAACGTCGTAGGTGAAAGTTAAAACAAACAATCTCAAACTAACACAAGAGATTTACGTGGTTCGGCGTAAAGCCTACTCCACGGGCGAAGCACGGTGAGGAATTTCACTAAACAAACGGAGATTACAAAAAAGTGTTTAAACTCTCACAACCCAAATCTCACAAATTACAAACCCTAAACCAAACGAGTAGAGAACCCAAACCTAACGGAGAAGATTCTCCCAAATTGCTCTCTAACTCACAAATTGACTCTCACCAAATTGTCACACGAATGAGCCACACAAAATACACTAACCCTAAGGTCCTATTTATAGTGCATAGGACTTAGGTTACAATAGGAATCCTAATAGGAAATAAATCCAAAACCTAATCAAATAGGTAATTAACAAAATCTCTCCACCAAGGAAACTAACTAAGAAGTCAAAACCAAACCCAAATAGGATACCAAAACCAAATAGGTAACACAAACCTAATTTATTGCATCATCCTAATTTTGAGCCAAAAAACCCAACAATCTCCACCTTGGCGAGAAATTAGCAAACTTCCAAATTTGGGATACCAAAATACAAACGCAAACGTGCACCAAATTCTTTCAAAACTGATCTCCACCTAGACTCAAAAAATCCAAAAGTCTTCAAACTTGAAATTTCCTCCAACGCCTTCTCCAACAAATTCCATTATGGAAACTAACAAATACGAAACAAAATCCAAGCAAAAGCTTGAACATACGAACAAAAAGTGCGAATTGCACTCCACCCAAAGAGCTTGAGTACCAAGCTCCACCTCTTCACATAACCTTTTGAGGAGTTCAGAACAACGATCTTCTGCAATGTTTGCATCAACACTAGCAAAAGACTTATCAAACAACTTCTTTTTGCCCTTGAGTTTAGGACAATCTACTTTCCAATGACCATCCTTATAACAATAGCTACAAGTGTTCTTTCCAAGTTTGCTCCTTTCCTTATTCCTTCCTTAAACTACCAAAGCTCCATCTTGTGTGTCAGACACTTTATTCTTCAGCTCTTTAGAATTCAAAGCGACTTTAACATCTTCCAAACTAAGACTTTCTCTACCAAATAGCATGGTATCGACAAAATGTTCATACGAAGGAGATAAAGAACACAACAAAGTTATCGCATAATCCTCATCACTAATTTGGTTGTCCACACTTTTCAAATCCATCATAAGTTTATTGAATTCATCAACATGCTTATGAATTGGCGTACCTTTATCCATACGAAGAGTATGCAAACTTTTCTTCAAATACAACCATTTAGCAAGGGATTTGGTCATATACAAGCTCTCCAATTTTATCCACAACTCCGGTGCAGATTTGATGCTACCAACTTCACGCAAGACTTCATTCGATAAAGTCAGCAGGATTGCTCCAAGTGCCCGTTCCATAACGTCTTCTTTTTCTTCATCAGTCCACGAATCCGGCAAAGCCTTCACACCTTTTAGCGTTTTCAAAAGCCCTTGTTGAACTAACAAAGCACGCATCTTCAATTGTCAAATACCAAAGTCATTGCCGTCGAACTTTTCAATATCAACTTTCACTGATGACACAGAAGGCTTCATAGTGACTGCCAAACAAAGCCCAAGCCGAAACCTGGGCTCTGATACCACTTGTTGTACTTTTATGCGCAAACGGAAGCGAATTGTAACAAAGTACCAAATATCAACGTCGTAGGTGAAAGCTAAAACAAACAATCTCAAACTAACACAAGAGATTTATGCGGTTCGGCGTAAAGCCTACTCCACGGGCGAAGCACGGCGAGGAATTTCACTAAACAAACGGAGATTACAAAAAAGTGTTTAAACTCTCACAACCCAAATCTCACAAATTACAAAGCCTAAACCAAACGAGTAGAGAACCCAAACCTAACGGAGAAGATTCTCCCAAATTGCTCTCTAACTCACAAATTGACTCTCACCAAATTGTCACACGAATGAGCCACACAAAATACACTAACCCTAAGGTCCTATTTATAGTGCATAAGACTTAGGTTACAATAGGAATCATAATAGAAAATAAATCCAAAACCTAATCAAATAGGTAATTAACAAAATATCTCCACCAAGGAAACTAACTAAGAAGTCAAAACCAAACCCAAATAGGATACCAAAACCAAATAGGTAACACAAACCTAATTTATTGCATCATCTTAATTTTGAGCCAAAAAACCCAACATACCCAACCAACAATAAAGGGTAGCGTTATTCACACACTATTTTTTATCTCTTACACATCCTTGTTAATTTTTGTCGATTAATCTTTTCATTCGTTCAATTCGACGATCATAAATTAAAATGATGGAGTAGAAAGTAAAAATAAGTGTGGATTACACCGTCGAAAAAAGGGGGAGGGAAGCAAAGGCAACCGCTGAATATTTGATGATACAAGAAGGTGACTTTTGCACTACTGTTTTCTCTTTATTAATCTTTGATTAATTAAATATATACAAATCATTAAAAAAAGAAGTATGTAAAGAGAAAAGGGAATGTGGCAATCACATTTTAATAATTAACCTGCTACGTTTGCAAGTGTATTCCTATAAGCGAGAGATGTACAACTCGGAAAGTACTTTGAATTTTTTAAGTACGGATAAATTATTTTAAGTGATATTTCACATGTTATAAAATAAATAAAAAGACACATAAAAATATATCATTTTTACTTGAAAAAATCTCTTCTAAGTAGGACATGCCTAACATCCTCACAGATAACGTGAGGAGCACGCATTGGCAATGATTGATGAGTTAGTCGGGGGTTTGGAAGATTCGAAGTATGACATTGATAGGCTCCCACTTCCGGTCCAATCAGACTTTTATTTTCTTCCATGGTTTAAAACCTCATGCATAATAACAAGAAGAAATTACGTTCATGGAAGACTAAAAGTCTCCAATAAAATTAGGGGTGCGCTAATTGTTGGATATAAGTCAACAATCTGTGATAATTTATATATGCTAATAAATAATAAATGCAATAGAAACTAACATAATATAAACTAGAATATGAATTATAAAACAGACAACTTGAAGATCGAGGCTTGCGTACCGCAATGTCCTTGAAACAGAAATTTCGTCTCTACTCTGTGCTTGTAGTTCTACGGACATCTGTTCCACCAGGATTCAACGATCTAAGTCAGAAATTCCATCACCGGAAAATAGACTTTTGACGAATATTAATGTGGTTTTCTCAGTAAGAAGGTTTATGAATGTAGAAGATGAAGTTTATTATTTCTGTGTTCTAAATGCTATGCAGATGTATGTATATATAGCAGATAGATGCCTGTTTGCAACAGGTATGATAATGGGGTGTGACTGTTGGGAGACATCTCTTCAGAAGGGTGCTTTGCTCTGTGTTCAGAAAGAACTCTCAGACTTCATCTGAAAGGATGAGTCTTTTCATTAAAAATAATTAATTAATTAAATTCGAATTTAATTAAAAAATAATTAAGTAAATCCGAAAAATAATTTAATTATTAGAGCCCCAAGGCCCAAGGCCCATCTTTTGACAATTAAATATATATTAATTATAATTAATTATATATTAATTACCAATTAATTATTACACCCCAAAGCCCAATCTCAAGGGTGAGCCCAATTTTAGTCTCCAGGCCTATTACTCCAATCACTTTCTTTAAAGGACAAAACCTTATAAAGTGATAAAATCTTTTGGGAATGGCCAATGTGGGACAAAGAAATTTCTACTCAAACTACTCAAATTTCCAACAATCCACACATCCTATTTTACTTTTCACATATTCCTTGATAATTTATGTCTGTTGATCTTCTTCAATTCATCCGATCGACGACTGAAACTTAAAAAGATGTGTGAGAAGTAAAATGAGGTGTGTGGATATCACACATCTAAAATTATAGAAGTATGGATGACTTACTGGGCCTCCAGAAACCTTTACCTACAATGAAGCTGATAAAAGATAGATATCAAATGTTCATTTGATGATTGTTGTGACAATGTCAGATTTTTTTTTCTTTTTCTAACCTTTTATTTTGTTATAAATGATATTTGTAGGATCCATTTTTAAAAAGAAATCATTTAAAATAAATTTTCAAGATCTATAATTGGTGTATTAATGAGACTCGCACAATAGAATAATTAAAAAACTATTTGACATGACATTTTTTCATATGTCAAATTTAACATATAAAAATTCAGTATGTCAATTCACATAGAATTGACATATAGGTTAGAGCTTATTCTATCTTCAAATGTGATTACATGACATTCTGCTTATGATTTGACATTTCTTTTGGAGATAGTCTAAAACGCGTTTAGATAAAGGACTAGCTTAGCTAATAGCTACGGGGACGGAAGGAGCCAAACTTTATATCTTTAGTACTTAAAAGAAAATCGAGGTATTTGGGCCTTGGAGAATTAACAGGACGAATTGCTAGCTTTCGTATACGAAATATCCACCCTAGTCACTATAGACGCATTTGCCCTATTAACACGTCTAAAGGAATCAAACTTTGAACTTATTAGATCCTTAGCAATTCATGCGAAGATTGGTTATTGGGGGTCTCTAGAAAGTCTATTTTATGAAATTTCTGAGAAATCAACTTTAGCTAATAGCTATGGGACCGAAGGAGCCAAAGTTTATATCTCTGGTAATTAAAATAGATCACAAGGCCTGCGGTATTTACATGATTCCCTTCTTTCTATTGTTATTCTTCTCATCCGAATTAGTCTTTGCCAATGCTTCTCAAGATCCAGTACACAGTTACTGCCGGAAAATGGCTCTATAGGGACATTTTTTATACAGGTTACGGTAGTGTGAATACAATGAAGGGTGATGTTAGAGTGATCATTTATTTAAAGAAGGTATTCAATCATCAATCACCACATCATATGATCTATAAAATATAGTAAAAAAAAACATTATGTCCCTAATTACTTTAGTCTAAAGTAGGAGGGGAAATCGCACTATTCATATGAACAGTGTTTGGACCACATTTCAGTTTATTTGCGAAGCTGCCACTGTCTCTCTCTGCCGCTGATCTTGATGCCGCGTGTTGATGATCGTGGAAAGGCAGGGTGCGATCGTCACTTTACCATTCTCTTCTCTTTCTCTATCACTCTCTTTCTCTCTCCCTCAGTTTCAATCTGCTCACCTAAATCTCCAGATCGAACATCCTCCATCTCATATAAAAAAGGGCAAGGATTGTCTGCCCTCCTAGTTGTGGTGCCCTTACATGCCCTCCTATTTTGTGCGGTCACGGTTAAGCCACGTCAATATTTTATATTAATTTTTTAATGAGATAATAAGACAAAAAATAATAAAAATATAAATATTGACGTGACTTAACCGTGACCGCACAAAATAGAAGGGCATGAAAGGGCACAACAACTAGGAGGGCAGACAATCCTTGTCCAATAAAAAAACCTTCCCCCTTTAGAACCTTTAGAATCAGCACTCATGGAATAATCATGGATTTTTGTTGAGGTAATTTGATTGTTTCCTCTTCTGTAATTTGTTTCTGTTAGTTTATTGTTCTTGAATTTTAATTTGTCTGCTTTCTGACTTGGAAGAGTCGATCTTCAGGAGATAAAATCGTGATGTGACCATCGTATTCTCTCTCACAGCTCACAACGATGAAATCGCACAGGGCTTCGTTGATTTCTGTCAACTCCGACCACGACCAGTGTCGGGTAAGCTGTCGACTACCTCTCTTCATCTTCTTTTTCTTCTTCCGCTTCTCCTTCTCCCTGGGCATTCCAGTTTGACTGTCTGTGTTTTGGATGCATCTTGATTTCCTTAGTATGATTAGACGGTTTGGATGCGCCTAATAAACAAACCTAATTTGCCTCGCGCTTTCAGTCATCACCTTCCTTCGTCTAAAACCTCACGCAGAGACAGAGCTCCCCCAAAACCCTAAACGCCCAAAGGTAATTTTGTTTAATTTTTCAATTAGTTTTAATTATCTGACGAATCCCTAGCATAAATTCACTCTCTCTACTCTAAATGCGTATAATTTTTTTCAGTATTAATCACAAAGCTACGGAGCTGAAATTGCAAACGCTATCCATGGCTCGCTTCAAAAATGTAAGCTTGAAGTTGAGAAAAGAGGTTTTTTTTTGGTTTTGTTTTGTTAATTTTCTCAGAAACGTAGTTGATTGTTGTGTTTTTGAAAATTTGAAAACAGAAGAAGGTGTTTGTGAAGTCAGTTTCGACGAAGAAGCTGGCTAATATGGACCATATCACAGGGGATAAAATCCCAAGGAGCTTAGCGAAATGTATGTCTTCTGTTGGTGGATTCTGTATCAAATTTGTTGTTGGTTTGTTTTCTTAAAGGTTGATCTGGATGAAGTGAATGCCCTGGCTTAACTCATGACCTGGAAGACTGCTATGGCCGACATTCCATATGGTGGAGCCAAGGGTGGAATCGGATGCACCCCCAGGGACTTAAGTTTGAGCGAGTTGGAGTATCTGACTCGCGTCTTTGCTCAGAAAATCCATGGCCTCATTGGAACTCATACTGATGTTCCCGCACCCGATATGGGCACCAATGTTCAGACCATGGCATGGATGTTGGATGAGTACTCCAAATTTCATAGTCACTCACCAGCTGTTGTCATTGGAAAGCCCATCATAAGAATTCGACACTGAGAAAATTAAGCCAAAAATCGGTTTCCTGGAGTTGAAAAGTAAGTAATTTGTAAATTGTATGTTTATCATTTGTTGTCAATGTTGTGATTTATAATGTAATTGATCTGGTATACATACAGAACTGGTATTCTATGTTTATATTGTCATTTGTTGTGAATGTGGTATAAAAATTTATGTTTATGTTTTTAGTTAACCAAATGGCTCTCAAGTTCGCTGCAAAGAGTGTAAGAAGAAATCATTATGTATTCCTTGCATACATAACTGCTATGCATTAATCTGCTATGTATCCTTTAATATTTCTGATTAATAACTTACTAAGATGTCGGGTTAATTGAGTTCGTTTTGTTAGAATGGCCACCACTTTTTGAAGTGATTTTCTCCGAGTAGAATCCAGCAAATGATGTTTGATATGGTTAAACATATATATTCAAGATTTTGATCTCTATGTGATTTGGCAATACTTTTCACCTAATCTTCCTCTCTCTCTCTCTCTCTCTCATGAAGGCACTGATTGCATTAAAAAAAGGTTCCCAGTTAATCAAGTATAGCCGGAAAGGGAAGCCAAAACTTCGTCCATTCAGAATTTCTACTGTGAGTAATTTTCTTTACATTAGGACATTGGATTCATTTCACACTAATAAGTTTTTTATCTTACATCTTCTTCCTGCTGCGCATCTCCACGATCATTACTAGATATCTTAACCGCTTGAATGGCTTCATTTTTCGTATCTTTAACAGGATGAAACCACACTAATCTGGTATTCACATGGAGAAGAACGAACTCTGAAATTAGCTTCTGTCTCTCGAATTATTCCCGGACAGAGAACAGTGAGTTTAATACTCCACTACCAATAACTAATCAATATTGTTGTGTTTCAGTCTATAATTATGAACCACTATTGTGTCCTACTCGACGTATGTGGTTCAAAAATTTGATTAAAACCGAGGATTGCTTTTTTTTTTTTACATTATTGTTATCATTCAAAACTCCGCCGTGTAAGTTTATCTTACATTGCCGGTCCCAAGCCCGGATAAAGGAGGAGGGGAGGGCGTCAGGTAGTCGACAGCCGGCACTCCATGATTACGTCGAATCCTTATGAAAATGAATCCAGAATGAAATCGCGCTAAAGCTAGGGCATCACCCGTAAGTGGCGCGCTGTGTGGCCCGAGCATAGTGATAAGTGAGCAAGGGTCGCTGTATCTCCATCGGCACCCGGATGCAGTGTTAAATGAGCAAGGGGGCTATAGAAACTTCTTTTCGAACGACTCCACTCAAAGTTGTTTGGGAGCATATGCTCCTATCAACTTTACACGGGACACACAAAAGAAGTACTTTGATCCTATTAGACGGGGAAGGGTGAAGAAGCTAGGACAGAAGGGTAGAGTTCAAGAGAGCAAAATGCGTTTAGGAACGTGGAATATAGGAACCTTGACTGGAAAATCTATGGAAGTAGTAGAAGTTATGGTGAGGAGAAGGATAAATATTATGTGCATACAAGAAACTAAGTGGGTTGGTCGTAAGGCAAAGGATCTAGAAAACTCAGGGTTTAAACTATGGTATTCGGGCACAAATAGAACGAGAAACGGTGTTGACATCATCGTGGACAAGACCTTGACACAAGATGTTGTAGATGTCAAGAGGGTAGGAGATAGAATCATGGCAATCAAGATTGTAATAGGACAAGAACTTATCAATGTGATTAGTGCGTACGCACCTCAAGTAGGGTTGGATACGAGTTCGAAGGAGAAATTTTGGGAAGACCTTGGAGACTTGGTGCAAGGAATTGCTCAGATAGAGAAGTTATTTATAGGAGGAGATTTAAATAGACATGTGGGCAGGGAGACAGGCAACTATGGAGGTTTTCATGGTGGCCATGGTTTTGGGGAGAGAAACGAGGATGGGGAAGCTATCTTGGATTTTGCACTCCAATGGCATATGATCTCTTCTTAGCCAACACCTTCTTTAAGAAGAGAGAAGAACATGTGATCACCTACAAGAGTGGGTCGTCAAAAACACAAATAGATTTTCTTCTAATGAGGAAAGGGGATCGTATAACTTGTAAGGATTGCAAAGTTATACCAGGAGAGAGCGTGGCTAATCAACATCGCTTGTTGGTGATGGATGTACATATCAAAAGAGTGAGAAAAAAGAACAAGACTTGGAAGTGCCCAATGACTAGATGGTGGAATCTAAAAGAAGAAAAACAAGTCATTTTCAAAGAGAAAGTAATCACCCAGTGTGTGGGATAGAGAGGGGAAGCTAACCAAATATGGGATTCCATGGCTAGTTGTATCCGAAAAGTAGCAAAAGAGGTATTAGGAGAGTCCAAGGGCTTTGCCCCACACCAAAAGGAATCTTGGTGGTGGAATGAGGAGGTACAAACAAAGGTGAAGGCTAAGAAGGAATGTTGTAAAACCTTATACAAGGATAAGACCGATGAAAATGGTGAAAGGTATAGAAAAGCGAAGCAAGAGGCGAAGAAAGCTGTGAGAGAAGCTAAGTTAGCGGCTTATGACGATATGTATAAGCGACTAGATACCAAATAAGGAGAGTTGGATATCTATAAACTAGCTAGAGCAAGGGAAAAGAAGACAAGGGACCTAAATCAAGTGAGGTGCATCAAGGATGAGGATGGAAAGGTTCTTGCTACAGAGAACGCGGTTAAAGACAGATGGAAAGATTATTTTCATAATCTTTTCAATGAAGGACATGAAAGGAGTGCTTCTTTAGGGGAGTTGAGTAACTCAGAAGAGTGTAGAAACTACTATTTTTATCGTAGAATCCGGAAGGAAGAAGTGATTGTAGCTTTGAAGAAGATGAAGCATAGAAAAGCAGTAGGCCCAGACGATATACCAATCGAAGTGTGGAAAGTTTTGGGAGAAACAGGTATAACATGGCTCACTGACCTTTTCAATAGGATTTTGAAAACGAAGAATATGCCAAATGAGTGGTGAACGAGCACTTTAGTGCCTATCTACAAGAATAAGGGGGATGTACAAAATTGCATGAACTATAGGGGTATTAAGCTAATGAGTCATACAATGAAGCTCTGGGAGAGAGTCATTGAGCATAGATTGAGGCAAGAGACACGGGTTTCGGACAACCAATTCGGGTTCATGCCAGGGCGCTCAACCATGGAGGCAATCTATCTCTTACGAAAATTGATGGAAAGATATAGAGATGGGAAAAAGGATTTACACATGGTCTTTATAGATTTGGAAAAAGCGTATGATAGGGTCCCAAGAGACATTCTTTGGAAGATTTAGAGAAGAAAGGAGTACGAGTAGCATATATCCAAGCTATATAGGATATGTATGAAGGAGCAAAGACTGCCGTAAGAACTCATGAAGGACAAACCGAAAGCTTTCCCATAACTGTAGGATTACATCAAGGCTCATCCTTAAGTCCTTACCTTTTTGCGTTGGTAATGGATGAGTTAACAGGACATATTCAAGATGATATTCCTTGGTGTATGCTTTTCGCAGACGATATAGTGTTGATAGATGAAACTCAGGAAGGGGTAAATGCAAAGCTTAACCTTTGGAGAGAAGTGTTGGAATCTAAAGGTCTTCGTCGTATGCCACTGAAGCTCAAGGAAAAATTTTATAGGACGGCAATAAGGCTGGCGATGCTGTATGGCACAGAATGTTGGGCGGTGAAGCATCAACACGTACACAAAATGGGTGTAGCGGAGATGAGGATGCTTCGTTGGATGTCTGGGCACACGAGAAAGGATAAGATTAGGAATAAGGATATCCAGGGTAAAGTAGGAGTAGCCGAAATTGAAGGAAAGATGAGAGAAAATCGGTTAAGGTGGTTTGGACATGTGCAAAGAAGGCTTACTGACGCTCCGATTAGAAGATGCGACTATGAGACAGAGGTTCAGGGCCGAAGGGGTAGAGGAAGACCTAGGAAAACTTTGGAAGAGACCCTAAGAAAAGACTTAGAGTACTTGGATCTAACGGAGGATATGACACAGGACAGAACACAATGGCATTCTAAGATTCATATAGCCGATCCCACTCAGTGACTTGGATTTTCCAAGTCTCTAACCGAGAAGTTTTCCTCACTCGGGAAATTAAGGGAACACTACCTCAACCTATATGCTCCACTCACAAAGCTTCAACATACAAGCTTCAACAAAAGAAAATTCAAAGAACTTAGCGAAGAAAGCTTTGGTGTATTTAACACAATACGTTGAAATGAAGGAAAACTTATTTATTGATATCCCCGATAAGTTACAAATATGTACATATACTTGAGTCAAAATAAACAAACAAGAGGGAGCCTTCACAAAGGTTGCTTAGGAGAAGTCTCAGCAGTCGGTAGAGCCCTAGAAAGAGAAGGCACCGGAGGGGGATCATTCGGAGCCTCAGTACTGGACAGAACCCTAGAAGGAGGAGGCATCAGAGGTTGATCATTTGGAGCTTCATTACGCGGTACAGCCTCAGAAGAGGAAGGCAATAAATGCCTTTGGAACAAACCCACAAATCTCTGATGATCAAGTAAAACCTGACCATCAGATTCCTTCATCTGGTCAAGCTTCCTCTTCATATTTGTAGCATAGTCATGTGCGAGCTGGTGCAACTGTTTATTCTCATGCTTGAGCCCTCTAATCTCCTGTTTGAGACTCATCACTTCAGCCGCCAATGATTCAACTTGGCGGGTTCGAGCAAATAAGCGTTGGGCCATATTAAACACAGAACCTGCACACTGAACACTGAGAGCCAGAGAATCCTTAACAGCCAACTCATTAGACCGTTTGGAAAACAGTCTGTTATCTTTGGGAGTGAGAAGGTTCCTGGCCACTACCGCAGTGGTCATATCATTCTTCATCAAGGAATCCCCAACGGTAAGAGGACCAGTAGGGGAGACGAAGGATGGGCGCCATATGTTGTCTGGAGAAGGCGGGGTTTCCTCTTCAACAAGGTTCAAGTCAAAACGACGGTCGGAGGGGCCAGACATTTTCAAAAGTGTTGAAGAGAGAAGAGGTCGGACAAATCAAGATCTTAGAAGTGCAAGAATGGAGCTTCTACTGGTGGATATTCAAGTGTGCTTTGGAACTTAATGTCAGCCCCTATAAAAATCTGCACTCGACGAAGCTTCAGAAATCGAAGAGGCGCCTGCTCAGAAATCGAAGAGGCGTGTGCTTTCTCAAAAGCTGGGCTGCTCAGAGACCACGAGGGTCGATCTCAGAAATCGAAGAGGCTTGCTTTCTCAAAAGCTGGGCTGCTCAGAGACCACGAGGGCCGATCTCAGAAATCGAAGAGGAACCTACTTTTCCAGCCTTGTCAGCACCTGTCACACACACACTCAACTTTGCGAAAATTATGGGCATTCTGTCGAAGATTTCTGGCGAAGTAGAAAGCACATGAATCGTACTGTTCAATCACCCACTTCCCACACACAACAGTAGCTCATGGGTACCACATATAACTTTGCCAAAGTTCTCTGACAAAGTTGAGACACGTGAAGCTTGCAGCTCCCACTACATCGCTCTGACCAAAAAGGGTAAAAGAATAGCAAAGAAACAACACTAACAAAGTTTAGACACATAAATTTTGAAGGTCTAGCTACCATATTATTACCCACAAGGGTAAAGGGACAGTACCACTGCTGGATAATTCGAAAGTCTCGGTGTGTCAACCTCTGTGCTTCGTGGCAAGGTAGACTAGCAAACATGCCCAACCTTTACTCACATTCGAGAAAACACTCCCAACAAGATTGCTTGCTCCAAAATCGAAGAGGCACCGCCCTCCGAATCTCGAGAGCCAGACTCCCAACATGATTACTTTCTCAAAAATCGAATTGAGGGTAAAGGAACAGTACCACTGCTGGATAATTGGAAATTCCCTGTGTGTCAACCTCTGTGCTTCGTGGCAATGTAGACTAGCAAACATGCCCAACCTTTACTCACATTCGAGAAAACACTCCCAACAAGATTGCTTGCTCCAAAATCGAAGAGGCACCGCCCTCCGAATCTCGAGAGCCAGACTCCCAACATGATTACTTTCTCAAAAATCGAAGAGAGGGTAAAGGAACAGTACCACTGTTGGATAATTGGAAAGTCCCTGTGTGTCAACCTCTGTGCTTCGTGGTAAGGTAGACCAGCAGGATTGCTTTCTCAAAAATTGAAGAGGCATCGTTCTCCGAATCTCGAGAGCCAGATCCTCGACATGATTGCTTGTTCGAAAACCGAAGAGGCACCACTTTCCCAACTTCAAGAGCTGGATCTCCTTGGATAAAGCTTGTCTGTAATCTTCACACACAAAATCAGCTTTCCAGATACCACAGACCACTTTTTCAAAGTGCTCTGACAGAGTTAAAACATGTGAAGCTGGCAGCTCCCACTACCGTGCTATGACCAAGCAGGGTAAAGGAATAGCATTATTACTTGATGTTAGGGAGACTCCTATATATGTCGACCTCCATCCCCACCGGACAGGCAGACCTGCAAAAATGCTTAAACCTTCCTCTTATCTGAGAGGGCATTCCCAACGAAGCCTTTCGAAATATTCAGCTTTCTTTCCCCCCGATAATACCTCTGTAAACAAGCTATACTAGAGCAAGAATATCTCATATCATCAGGGTTAAAAGCAAGAGTATCCCATATCATGCTTTTTTCCTGTCTTTTCCTTTGGCATTGTTCTTACCTGCAAGACAAGGAGAAATAGAGCAATCAGCCAGCACTTGGAATCAAGCTTCCAGCCATGAACTAACTGCCTGGAACCCCTTACCTGATTACTTACCTGGCATTGCTCTCGAGTACTCATCTTCAACATCTTATGCTTCCAGGGAAGATACCACATCTGCCTGAGGAACAGATAGGGCAAGTGAGAAGGATACAAGGAAGCATGTGGAGACAAGCGTAATAGCACACGTGCCGATACATCCACTACTCTGTCAAAAGCAAAAGTATCCCATATCAGCAGGGTCGAACGTACTCTAGATTTGATGGACTTGTTTTGACCCTCAAATTCTTCAGTCGGCCTTATACTCTGGAGGAAACCAGAAAACCCTCCAGCCCAGTTCAAGAATAAGCCTGTGGAAAGTTACTTCTTCAAAAGCAAAAGTATCCCATATCATATCTTCTCAATTTTCTTCTCTTTATCCTTCATGCTGCCTGCAAGATAGGGAGAATGTGAACAATCAGCCGGAGCTCTGATTGCTTACCTTGTCTGTCACCTCTTTCAGCAGATCCCCTAGCTCGGCGACTTGGGGGATTCCTACTACATGGTTTGTATCGCGCTTGACCAAGCCTGAAACTACAAGTAAGCTTCAAGTGAAATTGATACATTACCTTGTGCATCTCCACCAGTTACAGATACCACCCCTGGATGGAGGAAGAGTACTTCCAGAGAAGATGCCACATCTACCTATGAGACAGATAAAGCAAGTCAAGACGATACCACACTTCGGTACTTAGAAGTTTCGTGGTTACGAGATCATTCTCCCACAATATTTCCTAATGTCATTTGTACTAAATCATTCACTTGTACTCACTAAAGGAGAGCTTGAACCTATGTACTTGTGTAAACCCTTCACAATTAATGAGAACTCCTCTATTCCGCGGATGTAGCCAATCTGGGTGAACCACGTACATCTTGTGTTTGCTTTCCTATTTCTATCCATTTATATACTTATCCACACTAATGACTGGAGCAATCTAGCGAAGATCACAAAAAGTGACCATTTTCGCTACCTAGGATCTATCTTGCAAGAGAACGGAGAATTAGATGGAGATCTTAACCATAGAATACAAGCTGGATGGATGAAGTGTAAGAGTGCATCCGGCGTGTTGTGTGACCGTCGTAGGCCACTGAAGCTCAAGGGAAAATTTTATAGGACGGCAATAAGGCCAGCGATGTTGTATGGCACAGAATGTTGGGCGGTGAAGCATCAACACGTACACAAATTTGGTGTAGCGGAGATGAGGATGCTTCGTGGGATGTATGGGCACACGAGAAAGGATAAGATTGAGAATGAGGATATCCGATGTAAAGTAGGAGTAGCCAAAATTGAAGGAAATATGAGAGAAAATTGGTTCGGTGGTTTGGACATGTGCAAAAAAGGCCTACTGACGTTCCGGTTCGAAAATGTGACTATGGGACAGAGGTTCAGGGCCGAAGGGGTAGAAGAATACCTAGGAAAACTTTGGAAGAGACCCTAAGAAAAGACTTGAGTACTTGGATCTAACGGAGGACATGACACAAAGCCGAGCGCAATGGCGTTCTAGGATTCATATAGCCGACCCCACTTAGTGGGAAAAGGCTTTGTTGTTGTTGTTGTATTGTTATCATTCAAGCTAAAAATGTCTATATACATAGTTTAGGAAGGGGGTGCTTACAATATAGAATGGCTATAAATGTTACTGTAATAGGTTGCTATGACATTTTGTGGTCAGATTGGTTGTCTAAACCGTGCCATGTGTTTCGTAACTCTCTGTATTTCTTATTTGTATCAGTGGAGTTTATATTTTTGTTTTTCAAATTTGATTTCCTCACTTTCTGTTTTGATGGATATTTTAGAATTTGAGAAGGTGGTTGTGGTTTTCGTGCAATCGCCGTTATGCAGCTCAGACCATCACGATTCACCATTGTCACCCCATCACTGCCGTCGCGACCACCGCCGCCACATCACCTCTGTCGAAAACACTAAGTAATTTGTGAATTAGGGTTTTTTTTATTTTGTGAATTTCTGGTTTAGGGATTTAGGGTTTTTGAGTTAGTTTTTGTGAAGGTCATTGTTTGATTTTAGGCACGCTATAATCGATTACAAGTTTTCGGATCCTAAACACTTTGAAAGGGTTTCCAGAAAAGACAAATTTCCAAAGGCGAGTAGTGACACTGTCAATTTCCTCAACCAATCTTCACTGGAATTTTCTCCGTCATCCTATATATTTCAGCATTAACACATTTGATAAGAAATTTTGTTTCTGGTCACTAAAGATGGCAGGAAAATGGACACAATAAATTATCCATGGTCTTTATCATGCTAGCTGAGAATTGGAAAATGACACAGGACAGAACACAATGGCGTTCTAAGATTCATATAGCCGATCCCACTCAGTGACTTGGATTTTCCAAGTCTCCAACCGAGAAGTTTTCCTCACTCGGGAAATTAAGGGAACACTACCTTAACCTACATGCTCCACTCACAAAGCTTCAACATACAAGCTTCAACAAAAGAAAATTCAAAGAACTTAGCGAAGAAGGCTTTGGTGTATTTAACACAATACGTTGAAATGAAGGAAAACTTATTTATTGATATCCCCGATAAGTTACAAATATGTACATATACTTGAGTCAAAATAAACAAACAAGATGGAGCATTCACAAAGGTTGCTTAGGAGAAGTCTCAGCAGTCGGTAGAGCCCCAGAAAGAGAAGGCACCGGAGGGGGATCATTCGGAGCCTCAGTACTGGACAGAACCCTAGAAGGAGGAGGCATCAGAGGTTGATCATTTGGAGCTTCATTACGCGGTACAGCCCCAGAAGACGAAGGCAATAAATGCCTTTGGAACAAACCCACAAATCTCTGATGATCAAGTAAAACCTGACCATCAGATTCCTTCATCTAGTCAAGCTTCCTCTTCATGTTTGTAGCATAGTCATGTGCGAGCCGGTGCAACTGTTTATTCTTATGTTTGAGCCCTCTAATCTCCTGTTTGAGACTCATCACTTCAGCCGCCAATGATTCAAATTGGCGGGTTCGAGAAAATAGGCGTTGGGCCATATTCGACACAGAACCTGCACACTGAACACTAAGAGCCAGAGAATCCTTAACAGCCAACTCATCAGATCGTTTGGAAAGTTGTCTGTTATCTTTGGGAGTGAGAAGGTTCCTGGCCACTACCGCAGCGGTCATATCATTCTTCATCACGGAATCCCCAACGGTAAGAGGACCAGTAGGGGAGACGAAGGATGGGGGCCATATGTTGTCTGGAGAAGGCGGGGCTGCCTCTTCAACAAGGTTCAAGTCAAAACGACGGTCGGAGGGGCCAGACATTTTCAAAGGTGTTGAAGAGAGAAGAGGTCGGACAAATCAAGATCTTAGAAGTGCAAGAATGGAGCTTCAACTGGTGGATATTCAAGTGTGCTTTGGAACTTAATGTCAGCCCCTATAAAAATCTGCACTCGATGAAGCTTCAGAAATCGAAGAGGCGTTTGCTTTCTCAAAAGCTGGGCTGCTCAGAGACCACGAGGGTCGATCTCAGAAATCGAAGAGGCGTGTGCTTTCTCAAAAGCTGGGCTGCTCAAAGACCACGAAGGCCGATCTCAGAAATCGAAGAGGCTTGCTTTCTCAAAAGCTGGGCTGCTCAGAGACCACGCGGGCCGATCTCAGAAATCGAAGAGGCACCTACTTTTCCAGCCTTGTCAGCACCTGTCACATGCACACTCAGCTTTGCGGAAATTATGGGCATTCTGTCGAAGATTTCTGGCGAAGTAGAAAGCACATGAATCGTACTGTTCAATCACCCACTTCCCACACGCAACAGTAGCTCATGGGTACCACATATAACTTTGCCAAAGTTCTCTGACAAAGTTGAGACACGTGAAGCTTGCAGCTCCCACTACATCGCTCTTACCAAGAAAGGTAAAAGATTAGCAAAGAAACAACGCTAACAAAGTTTAGACACATAAATTTTGAAGGTCTAGCTACCATATTATTACCCACAAGGGTAAAGGAATAGTACCACTGCTGGATAATTGGAAAGTCCGGTGTGTCAACCTCTGTGCTTTGTGGCAAGGTAGACTAGCAAACATGCCCAACCTTTACTCACATTCGAGAAAACACTCCCAACAAGATTGCTTGCTCCAAAATCGAAGAGGCACCGCCCTCCGAATCTCGAGAGCCAGACTCCCAACATGATTACTTTCTCAAAAATCGAAGAGAGGGTAAAGGAACAGTACCACGGCTGGATAATTGGAAAGTCCCTGTGTGTCAACCTCTGTGCTTCGTGGCAAGGTAGACTAGCAAAGATGCCCAACCTTTACTCACATTCGAGAAAACACTCCCAACAAGATTGCTTGCTCCAAAATCGAAGAGGCACCGCCCTCCGAATCTCGAGAGCCAGACTCCTAACATGATTACTTTCTAAAAAATCGAAGAGAGGGTAAAGGAACAGTACTACTGCTGGATAATTGGAAAGTCCCTGTGTGTCAACCTCTGTGCTTCGTGGCAAGGTAGACTAGCAAACATGCCCAACCTTTACTCACATTCGAGAAAACACTCCCAACAAGATTGCTTGCTCCAAAATCGAAGATGCACCGCCCTTCGAATCTCGAGAGCCCGACTCCCAACATGATTACTTTCTCAAAAATCGAAGACACCGTTGTCCGAATCTCGAGAGCCAGACCCCCAGTAGGATTGCTTTCTCAAAAATCGAAGAGGCATCGTTCTCCGAATCTCGATAGCCAGATCCCCGACAGGATTGCTTGTTTGAAAATCGAAGAGGCACCACTTTCCCAACTTCAAGAGCTGGATCTCCTTGGATAAAGCTTGTTTGTAATCTTCACACACAACATCAGCTTTCCAGATACCACAGACTACTTTTTCAAAAGTGCTCTGACAGAGTTAAAACTTGTGAAGCTGGCAGCTCCCACTACCGTGCTATGACCAAGCAGGGTAAAGGAATAACATTATTACTTGATGTTAGGGAGACTCCTATATATGTCGACCTCCATCTCCAACGGACAGGCAGACCTGTAAAAATGCTCAACCCTTCCTCTTATCTGAGATGGCACTCCTAACGAAGCTTTTCGAAATATTCAGCTTTCTTTCCCCCCGATAATACCTCTGTAAACAAGCTATACTAGAGCAAGAATATCTTATATCATCAGGGTTAAAAGCAAGAGTATCCCATATCATGCTTTTTCCCTGTCTTTTCCTTTGGCATTGTTCTTACCTGCAAGACAAGGAGAAAGAGAGCAATCAGTCAACACTTGGAATCAAGCTTCCAGCCAGGAACTGACTGCCTGGAACCCCTTACTTGATTACTTACCTGGCATTGCTCTCAAGTACTCATCTTCAACATCTTATGCTTCCAGGGAAGATCCCGCATCTGCCTGAGGAACAGATAGGGCAAGTGAGAAGGATACAAGGAAGCATGTGGAGACAAGCGTAACAGCGCACGTGCCGATACATCCATTACTCTGTCAAAAGCAAAAGTATCCCATATCAGCAGGGTCGAACGTACTCTAGATTTGATGGACTTGTTTTGACCCTCAAATTCTTCAGTCGGCCTTATCTCTGGAGGAAAACCAGAAAACCCTCCAGCCCAGTTCAAGAATAAGCCTGTGGAAAGTTACTTCTTCAAAAGCAAAAGTATCCCATATCATATCTTCTCAATTTTCTTCTCTTTATCCTTCATGCTGCCTGCAAGATAGGGAGAATGTGAACAATCAGCCGGAGCTCTGATTGCTTACCTTGTCTGTCACCTCTTTCAGCATATCCCCTAGCTCGGCGACTTGGGGGACTCCTACTACATGGTTTGTATCGCGCTTGACCAAGCCTGAAACTACAAGTAAGCTTCAAGTGACATTGATACATTACCTTGTGCATCTCCACCAGTTACAGATACCACCCCTGGATGGAGGAAGAGTACTTCCAGAGAAGATGCCACATCCACCTATGAGACAGATAAGGAAAGTCAAGACGATACCACTCCAGTACTTAGAAGTTTCGTGGTTACGAGATCATTCTCCCACAATATTTCCTAATGTCATTTGTACTAAATCATTCACTTGTACTCACTAAAGGAGAGCTTGAACCTATGTACTTGTGTAAACCCTTCACAATTAATGAGAACTCCTCTATTCCGTGGACGTAGCCAATCTGGGTGAACCACGTACATCTTGTGTTTGCTTTCCTATCTCTATCCATTTATATACTTATCCACACTAATGACTGGAGCAATCTAGCGAAGATCACAAAAAGTGACCGTTTTCGCTACCTAGGATCTATCTTGCAAGAGAACGGAGAATTAGATGGAGATCTCAACCATAGAATACAAGCTGGATGGATGAAGTGTAAGAGTGCATCCGGCGTGTTGTGTGACCGTCGTAGGCCACTGAAGCTCAAGGGAAAATTTTATAGGACGACAATAAGGCCAGCGATGTTGTATGGCACAGAATGTTGGGCGGTGAAGCATCAACACGTAGACAAAATGGGTGTAGCGGAGATGAGGATGCTTCGTGGGATGTATGGGCACACGAGAAAGGATAAGATTGGGAATGAGGATATCCGAGGTAAAGTAGGAGTAGCCAAAATTGAAGGAAATATGAGAGAAAATCGGTTCCGGTGGTTTGGACATGTGCAAAGAAGGCCTACTGACGCTCCGGTTCGAAAATGTGACTACGGGACAGAGGTTCAGGGCCGAAGGGGTAGAGGAAGACCTAGGAAAACTTTGGAAGAGACCCTAAGAAAAGACTTGAGTACTTGGATCTAACGGAGGACATGACACAAAACCGAGCGCAATGGCGTTCTAGGATTCATATAGCCGACCCCACTTAGTGGGAAAAGGCTTTGTTGTTGTTGTTGTTGTTGTGTTATTCTTTAATTGTATGATAATGTTTTCAATGTTTTAGATTACATTGATCAGTATTATTTTAAAGTATATATAAAGATTAGTTTATAGGTGTATGCACTTAATATTGAATATATGGTATTTTTCAGGTTATTTGACATACAATTGCATATAATCTCAATTTTCTCCTGCAATTTTTGTCTGAGCTTCGGAATCGTTGAAAAATTTGTATAAATAATAAATTAATTGAAATGGCTATTAGTAATGAATGAGGTGTTTACTGTGTTTTTTTGGTGTGTACAGAGCGAAAGGTATGTTGCTAACGAAGGCAAAAACAAGATGCAGTTTGCTGCATATAGAAAACGGAGGTTAGTTTGATTCCAACTCCTTTTTTTAGTTTATTTGAATAAAAAATTGGTAACTTCGAGTCCAATTTGATTATTTCTTGCTTTTCTGCTGTTTTGCTGCTGCCTGTCTGCTCTCCACCCTTTCCTGCTGCCGTCCATTGCCTTAAACAAAAAAAAAAAACCATTTGCCAAACCCACCAAAGCCACAAGAAAAGACAAGTAGAATTTTATATTCTCTACCCACTTTTATTCACGATTGCTGTTGGCTTCCCTTTTTTTAGAAAGGAAAACTGCCGCTCTCCTTGGACAAATACCATCTTTCTCAAAACATGGATCCGGAAAGACATCTGATAGAATTTATTTTGAGTTTAAATTATTAAATTAGGAGAGCTAAGAAGATATTAATAACTCTGGTTTTCTCTTTTGGCTACCACCTTGCTCTCAATTTCTCTTTTTCCTCCTGCTCTGCTGCTTTTTCAGTTTTACAACCTCTCTGCAAAAAACACTGTGTTTTGCATGTTTTTGTTCATGCTTCTATTCCTTGTTGTTGTGGTGGTGACTCTGTGAATGGAATTCTCAGTTATCTATTCCTCTACAATACATGATACATCTGATTTTTGTTCATTGACAGATGATGCCACATGCTTGAGATTTTTATGCCATCACTCTGTTCGTTCTTTTGTGATTGTTATTGTTTGTTTTAAAATGTGTATGCTGTGTGTCATACACAGATTAGAGCAGAGATCCATGATTTAAATTCAACATAATCCTCACATTAAGCTTAGTTAAGTTCAATGTTGTTTTTTGAAACTTAGTATGTTGTTACCAATAACGTTAAGTTATCATAACATTATGTATTTAATTTAACTAATAATGTTAAGTAATAAAATGACGTAACAAAACAATATTCATTGACACACGCCAAAAACAAGAATCTTCATTAACGTTATTAATCAACCAATCAATATTTCATAATTTTTTTGTATGTAAGTGTACTAATATCGATCCAAAGCCGCATGGCCTACCTGTGTGGTCAAATCTTTTGATATAACAATCTACTCGACGTTTTCAATGTAAATAACATTAATCTTTAGTACATTAATTCAAGGGGTCTTTTGATATGGGTCCAATTGGACTAAAAATTAGACCTATTTCAAAAATCAAAAGTCACTAAAAATTGGATCTATTTCAAAAGATGGGCTATAAAATTGGATCTCTTTCAAATTTTCTCTTAATTTCAAATACAATTGTGGTTCAAGGGAACAGTTAATGATCCACATGGCATCAAAGTATCTTACTCAATTGTATATTACACGTGTGTATTGCATTATGTTTGTGCGAATACTTTTTTTCACTATCAATCTATATTAGTTTTGAATTCTGAGTTGATTTAACAAACAGGTTTCTTTATTTCAGATTAATTTGGTTCTCACTAAATGAATCAAAGATCACAAAACTAGAACCAGTGGTTTCCAAAAAACGTTGGTTCTTGAATATTTTCATTTATGCTTTTTCAGTTCTTTGAATGGACTTCCTATAATCCAAAATGAGCTATTGAACAACTCTTTTGTACATTGTATTTGCAAATCAATATTTAGGCTAATAATTGAAGACTGATTCTTTTTTGTTGAAAAAATCTGGATTCTTAAACTGTGGTGATTAATGTGGTTTTTAGGTGAATTTTTCGAGTGGGGGAGAAAGGGGTAGGTGGGGGCTTTAAATTGTTATTCTCAATTGGTATATAAATATTTAAATGTGCAAAACATGGATATCATGGAAGAATTCAAATGTTTTTCCTGCATTAGGTTGGAGAGCATGATCATTTTTTGTTTGCACATCACAAAGTTTGTTTTGAGTACTTCTCACGCCATTGAGGCACAAATGTTCTTCCTGCATTAGTTAATTTTCTTTATATCAAAATAAATTCAATTTTCCTTTGTATCCAAATATGTATTAAAGTAATTGTGATTGAAGTTTGTTTATGTCTGCTTTCCAAGATTTATTTTTTGTTTACATGTCTTACTCCGTTTATGAATGCTTTTTTGGTTAACTGAAAGAATGCTTTTCATTCTCGGTTTTCAGGACTTTATCTACCATTTACAAGTCAACCCCACAATACCAAAGTGCAAGCGAAGCAAAGATTTGAGGTGATTTTTGCTCTAACTTTTTAAGATTTTATATTCTAGGTTAATTATCAACCGAATTCTGTTACTAGATTTAGAATTGTAATTTGGTACCACTGCTGCCACCTGCCGCTTCAGTTTTCACATCCTAATGCCACGAAATGCTAATTTTAAATTCTAGGTTATGGGTAAGCATTAGTATTTGGAGGCACAAATTATTCTCAGCCGCTAAACCAAGTTCTAAATCTTTTTTCGTGTGGTTTACATTATAGGCTATTCAAGCCCTATTTTAAATGTATGATTGGTTTGCGTGAAATGAATGAAAAAGAGAGTTAGAATACCCTGTGAGATGACCGATTCCAGAAACCATTTTAAATAAAACGTATCAAAAGTGTTGAACGGAGAGCGAAAAGATTCTTTGCATGGAAAACATATTTCACTTTGTTTTCTTTACTGAAAGTGCTCTTATTTAATCTGGTTCTGTTTCGGTTGCGTAGTTCGTGGTTCGCAGTGACTAAGAATCGTTTCCTAAGAAATCTATTGAGCTAAGTTCTTTTTGGTGGGAAATTAGGGTTGCTGATGTTAGCAATGGATTGTTTCTGTTTGGTATGATTATATCTCTGAACAAGCATTAATAAATAGAACGGTTTAGATCAATAATTTTATTCGGTCAAGATTCAAACTCCCATTCTAGAGCAAACTATAACTCAAATTGCCATTGCAGATCAAACTATAAGTCAAACTCCCATTCCAGAGCAAACTATGAGTCAAACCCCCATTTCAGAGCAAAATGGGAACGAGAAGCAATAGGGCATGGCTATTTCCGGGGCATCGTTTGTTTTGAGATTCTGGTGTAATTAGATTTGAACATTCTGCTCCTCTGCTTTTTGATTTGTATATATCTCAAATTTCTCTCAATTGCTAAAGGATTTATTTTATTTAAAAATTTCAGAAAGTCGGGTCGTGGGAGGAAGAAGCTGGTTTGTTGACATTTTTAGGTATATAATCATGTGCCCTGATAGCATATTCAAAGCCTATTTAGTAAAGCTTTTGTGCCTGGATTTAAATTATGTGATTGGTAATTACTTAGCACGATAATTGTGAAGCATATGATCGTTATTCATGAATACAAAACCTTCATTCACAAATCACAAATATTTGATGAGCTATTTAGAAATTCTGCATTTTCGTCATCCAATTCAATAGCATTTGGGATACTATGCTAGAATTCTATTACAGCTCCAGTTAGAGATGTGAAGCATGAAGAATATCTCTTTAGGAAGTGTTAGCTAATCCGGTTAATTGGTCAACGAAATTAGCCATTTTAGTCATTTAGATTGGATAACCTAGGAAGAATGTTAGAATGATTGATCATATTCGTTAGCCCTATGTTTTTTTATTGCATAATGATGGAATTGACACGTCATTTAGTCATAGTAATTGATGTAATAAGTACATATCAACTGCCGCATTCACTCATCTATCCCTCTCCTCATTCAGGTAAAATGTATCTTATTCGTACAGTTCAAGGTGATGCATTCAAGTCCCGCAGCAACGCGCGGGTCCATTTTCTAGTATTTTTCTACAGTGAAAGAATACAATGAAAGATTACGACCCTACTAAATAAAACGGTAACTACTGAAATATGACAATAGTGAAATCTTATATATATTGGTACGCATAAGCATAAGCATAGCATATTAGCATGCCCATGGTTACTAATCTAACAACAGAAGATGGTATCAGAAGAAGGTATCTGCAGGGAATTATGCATTTCTCCATGCAGTGCACTTGACGTGAACAAACAACTTGTTCTCTTCCTCATATGCTCTTTGCACTTAAATTTTGATGATTTACATATTTCCATTCTATATGCCTCCGATGTCTAAATCAGAAAAGTAGTAGAGAGAAAGAATGTATCTCGGCATTCTCGACAATCACCGCTTCCAATTATGTTGCAAGTTTTCATTCAAATTTTCTTCTTTATGCTATATTTTGAAAAGTGTTCTACACGTGCTTTTTTAATTTTTTTTTTTAATTTTTATTCTTCCCTGTGTGGGAATTTACAAATGCACTTGCACTGTGCTATTGAACAAACATTGGAATTATGTCTCTACCTCTCGTCGCTGCAAACCAGAGTTACCAGCAAATGTTTCCGTTCTTGTTTCAAGTCTTTTGTCAGTCGTTTGCTTTTTTTTGTTCTTGTCTGAATTTTCTCGTCTTCTGTGGACGTTAGATAAATTAGTTAGACTATCGCTAGTAAACAATAAAAAATTACCACAAATTAAAAATCATCCTCAATGAGTCAATTGCTTTGCCAATTGCCTCTCTCTTCTCTCTTCTCTCTTCCAATCCCTTTCAATTCTGCTCTCTAACAGATACTGCAGGAGACTCACCATTCAAAGTCTCCGCTGCCATTGGATTTTCCACCAAAGACTAAGTGGTGTGCCAAGACTTCCGCGGCTAGCAATCTCCATCATGCATTCATTATCATCTGTTCCTACACGGCTTCATTAGAATTCGGAAATTTCCATAGAAAAATCTCTGTATTTCTCATTAGTAAAAAAACAAATAAGAAAGCGACTAGAGTGGCAATGACAATTTTGGAGTTTTAATAACAATTTCGTTGTTTAGAAAATTTGCAAATAATGACACGAAAGTCACATCCAAGTAGAGACTGTCACATACAATAACGACACGACAGTCACATCCAAGTAGAAGGGATTTCATTGAGTGGTTCGATATGCATTATACTTCGCGATTCCGTTGAGTGGTCCAGAATCGTATCCACTTGGATTCTGTTGAGAGGTCCGGAATCCCTTCTACTCTGCAGTTCTGTTAAGTGATCCGGAATCGTATCCTGGTTTGGATTCTGTTGAGTGGTCCGGAATCCCACTTGGTGTTTTGGTTCCATTGAGTGGTCCAGAACCCGATGTTGATGGATTTCGTTGAGTGGTCCAAAATTGCATCATTTGACTTGTTGGTTCATTAGATTCGATTTCAGCTTCAGAGATATAGGCTTCGGCCGAACTGTATCGCTCTAGCCCTGCATTTCGATGTATTGTATGTGTTATTGATTGGTGTGATTATTGGTTGGTGTTAGAATGCATATGTGTGTGTAAATGGCAAGATGATTAAAGAATATTATTGTGCTTCGTCGAATGTTCCTTGAGATGTTGCATGCCTGAATCGTAGTATTATATTGGGACATAGTGGTTTATGTGATGAATGTTCGAGTGTAGTGAATGGTGAACTACAAATGACTTGATCCCTGTTTAGAGTAGGTAGGCAGACTAACGAGGAGGTTAGATGCATCCATAGAGTATACGAAAAATTACTATGCGATTCGATTATCTAGTTGTGCTTTGCCGTATTTCGGAGGAAAGGTAAGATAGAGATACGGGTATTTGGTGACGTCACGTGTCGATCCTGGACGTATGTCGGGAGCGAGATGTGACATCACATGTTATAAAATAAGTGGAGAGACACATAAAAATATATCATTTTCTCACTTTTGTTATGACATATGAAATAACGCTTGAATAACCCATACTTGAAAAAATCTCTTCTAAGTAGGACATGCCTCACATCCTCACAGATAACGTGAGGAGCATGCATTGGCAATGACTGAAGAGTTAGTCGGGGGTTTGGAAGATTCGAAGTATGACATTGATAGGCTCCCACTTCCGGTCCAATCAGACTTTTATTTTCTTCCATGATTGAAAACCTCATGCAAAATACCAAGAAGAAATTATATGTTCATGGAAGACTAAAAGTCTCTCATAAAACGATAATAGTATGGATGACTTAGGGTTGGTTTGATATTGCTGTGCTTTGGAAAAAAACTGCTGTGAGAATAAGCGGCTGTGCTGTGAGAATAAGTGGCTGTGAAATAAATCAGCAGAGTGTTTGGTAAACTTTTTTGTAAAAGCGCTTTTGGAAAAAAAAGCAGTCTGATAGTGGGTCTTTTCATTAAAGGAGCATTGTAGCTCCGTGTGCTTTGAAAAAAAACCAGTTTTCCAAAGCTGCAAATAGTAGCTTCAGCTTTTTCCTTTGATTTCAGCTTATTCTCACAGCAGCTTAAAAAATAAGCTTTTTTTTTTCAGTTTACCAAACACCTAAAACCCTCACAACTTTTTTTCATGGGTGTTTTTTTTTAAGCACCTCACTCCCAAACCTGGCTTTACTGGGCCTCCAGAAACCTTTACCTAGCAATAACATTTAGCTACTAAGGTTGCGTTTGGGACAGCTTAAATTTTTTTAAAAGCTGGGATGAAAAAAGTTGGGGTCCTTTTAGTGTTTGGTAAACACACTAAACCCAGCTTTTTTTCACCGTTGAGGATGAAGAAAAACCAAATCCTGAAGCAGCAAATCATAGCTTTGAAAAAACTGCTTTTTTTTCAAAACATGCGGAGCTACAGTGCAATGTTAATGAAACTTTCTAAATTCCAATAACATCCTCGTTAGTTTTACAAAATTACAATCCTTGTCCCTAAAACAACTGGAAGGATCTCTTTCCTATTCGCTCGTTCTCCCCCCGCATCAGATCCCTAGGACCGCCGTCATCCCTCCCACTCCCGCTCGACACCGACCACCACTGCACCAACGATTATCCCTCTCCTCCTTTCAAATCCTACACACGATCAAATGCGATGATTAAATAGTAAAATAAACTTAAAAAATAACCCAGAAATTAATTTAATTGACGGAAATGCTTAGGGTGATAAAAGGACCGATGATTTCTCCGGCAGGAATGATGATTCTCATCCGCAAGGAATTCACTAAATTAACACCCAATAAATTAATAAGATGCCAACCAATCTTATTTGCACGACACAAAGAAATTCATCAAATTCAATAACAAAACCCTAATTTAAAACCCAAAAAACAAACCATGTATTTATTTAATTTTATACCTCAACAAATTTGTCCGTCCTCGAAGGTGTGGTCAGAGACGTTGACACTCGAAGATCCGGTGAAGTTGAGATGAGGGAGGATGAGCAGCGGAGAAAATGAGGGAGAGGAGAGAGTGTGAATGTAAGAGAGATTATAAAGAAAAATAAATAAATTATTATAACATTTAATATTATACCCTGTTAGTCATTTAACATCTACACAACAGTTTTATATAAAAGTTACCAAACACTTGAATACTGCTTTTTTGTTAAAGCACTTTAAAAAAAAAAGTTTACCAAATACTTAACTGATTTATTTTACAGCTATTTATTCTCACAGTACAACAGAAGCAGTTTTTTTAAAAAGCACATCAATACCAAACTAGTATCTACAATGATGATGATAAAAGGTAAATATCAAAAGTTAATTTGATGGTTGTTGATAATGTCAGATTTTTTTTCTTCTTTCTCTAACCCTTTTTTTGTTTGTTATATATGATATTTGTATGACCTATTTTTAAAAAGAAATCACTTAAAATAAAATTTCAAGATCTATAATTAGTGTATTAATGAGACCCGCACAATCAACAACAAAGCATTTTCCCACTAAGTGGAGTCAGCTATATGAATCCTAAAACGCCATTGCGCTCGGTTCTGTGTCATGTTTTCCGTTAGATCCAAGTACTCTAAGTGTTTTCTTAGAGTCTTTTCCAATGTCTTCTTAGGTCTTCCTCTACCCCTTCCGCCCTAGACCTCTGTTAATGAGATCCCGCACAATAAAATAATTATAAAACTATTTGACATCACATTTTCTTATATGTCAAATTTGACATCTAAAAATTCATTATGTCAATTCACATAGAATTGACATATAGGTTAGAGTTTATTCCTATCTTCAAATGTGATTACATGGCATTCTGCTTATGATTTCACATCTCCTTTGGAGATAGTCTAAAACACGTTTAGATAAAGGGCTAGCTTAGCTAATAGCTACAGGATGGAAGGAGCCAAACTTTATATCTTTAGTGCTTAAAGAAAATCGAGGTATCTGTGTAGAATTATCAGAGAGACAAGCCATACGGCCCACTTCCAACAACACCGATATTGTCCCCAACTTGGTAATTACCACCTGCACAATCCGTCAGGTGTGGGGTTTTATCACAAAAAGCCTCAGTGTTAGTTAGAGTGAGATTATGATATTTAAACTATTACTTATCTTTTACTACGACCGATGTGGGATTCAACACGCCCCCTCACGTAAGACCCAATTAGTGGGTCACATGTGGGAGATCCACACATAGGCAACCACGTGGAGCCAAGGGGACTCACCCTACACGCAGGGCCAAGGGACCCACTATCATCATGCGGGGCCAAGGGGACCCACCCATCACGTGGCAATACAGTAAGGGCCCGCTCCCTGACTCTGATACCATGTAGAATTATTAGAGAGACAGGCCATACGGCCCACTTCCAACAACACCGATATTGTCCCCAACTTGGTAATTACCACATGCACAATCCGTCAGGTGTGAGGTTTTATTACAAAAGGTCTCGGTGTTAGTTAGAGTGGGGTTAGAATATTTAAACTATTACTTATCTTTTACTACGACCGATGTGGGATTCAACAATCTGGGCCCTGGAGAATTGACAGGGCGAATTGCTAGCTTTCGTATACGAAATATCCACCCTAGTCACTATGGACGCGTTTGCCCTATTGACACGTCTGAATGAATCAAACTTTGGACTTATTAGATCCTTAACAATTCATGCGAAGATTGGTTATTGGGGGTCTCTAGAAAGTCCATTTTATGAAATTTCTGAGAGATCAGCTTTAGCTAATAGCTATGGGACTGAAGGAGCCAAAGATTATATCTCTGGTAATTAAAATGGTTCACAAGGCCTGCGGTATTTACATGATTCCTTTCTTTCTATTTCTATTCTTCTCGTCCAAATTAGTCTTTGCCAATGTTTCTCAAGATCCAGTACACAGTTACTACTAGAAAATGGCTCTATAGGGACATTTTTTTTATACAGGTTATGGTAGTGTGAATACAATGAAGGGTGATGCTAGAGAAACCATCTATTTGAAGAAGGTATCCAACCATCAATCGCCACATCATATGGTCTATAAAATATAGTCAAAAAACATTATGTCCCTAATATTTTTCTACAATGAAAGAATACAATGAAAGATTACGACCCTACTAAATAAAACGGTAACTAATATCGCTAATTAACTGCAACTCTCTGATAACTGAAATATGCCAATAGTGAAATCTTATATATATTGGTGCGCATAAGCATAAGCAAAGCATATTAGCATGCCCATGGTTACTAATCGAACAACGGAAGATGGTATCAGAAGAAGGTATCTGCAGGGAATTATGCATTTCTCCATGCACTGACTTGATCTGAACAAACAATTTGTTCTCTTCCTCATATGCTCTTTGCACTTAAATTTTGATGATTTACATATTTCCATTCTATATGCCTCCGATGCCTAAATCAGAAAAGTAGTAGAGAGAAAAAAGAATGTGTCTCGGCATTCTTTAATCTCGATAATCACCGCTTCCAATTATATTGTAACTTTTCATTCAAATTTTCTTCTTTATGCTATATTTTGAAAATTCTTCTACACATGTGGTTTTTTAATTTTTATTCTTCCCTGTGTTGGAATTTACAAATGTACTTGCACTGTGCTATTGAACAAACATTGGAATTATGTCTCTCTGCCTCTCGTCGCTGCAAACCACAGTTACCAGCAAATGTTTCCGTTCTTGTTTCAAGTCTATTTTCAGTCGTTTGCTTTTTTGTTCTTTGTCTGGATTTTCTCGTCTTCTGTGGACGTTAAATTAGTTAGATTATCGCTAGTAAACAATAAAAAATTACCACAAATTAAAAATCATCCTCAATTGCATTGCCAATTGCCTCTCTCTTCTCTCCTTCAAAGTCTTGGCTGCATATGGATTTTCCACCAAAGACAAATTGGTGTGCCAAGACTTCCGCGGCTAGCAATCTCCATCATGCATTTATTATCATCTGCTCCTACGCGGCTTCATTAGAATTCGGAAAATTCCATAGAAAAATCTTATTTCCCATTAGTAAAAAAACAAATAAGAAAGCGACTAGAGTGGCACTGACAATTTTGAAGTTTTAATAATAATTTCGTTGTATAGAAAATTTGTAAATAACGACACGACAGTCACATCCAAGTAGAGAATACCAACAAGTGTCGTGTAGGCCATGGTTTGCAAACTTGTTCAACCCGACATATGTATATTTCGTTCCAACAAAATATAAAACATATTTCTACAGTCCATCACAATCAGGTACCAGCTTGTCGCCTATGGACTTGCATACTTGTAAAAGGGGTTGTGAACACAATCCATTCATTTCAGTTACCCTTTTTTCTTGGGATGTGATATCCACACATCCCATTTTACTTCTCACACATTTTTCTAATTTTCGACCGTCGGATCGGATGAATTGAAGAAGATCAACGGACAAAAATTAACAAAGAGTGTGTGATAAGTAAAATATGATATGCGGATAGCACATCCCTTTTTCTTTTCTCCATCACACGACTTTTGTTGCAACTCCCCGATCTACATCGATAATCTATTCCTATAAATTCGGGAATTTAGTAGCTAAACATCATCACCACCAAAGCATAGCAAAGAAAATTGTGTGTAATAATAATGGATACCCACTATCACCTCAGTATTGCTCACTATTTCCTTCTTTTTCTTTTAGCATCTTCCTACATGCAGAGTACTACTAAACTCTGTTTTTAGCCCGTGATGAACTATCAAGCAGTGTGAAAAAAAATTTATGCATCGACGAAGAAAGACAAGCGCTTCTCATCTTTAAACAACATCTTGTAGATCATTCTGGCAGGCTTTCCTCTTGGGTGGGTCACGATTGCTGTCGATGGGTAGGAATTTCATGCAACAACCTCACCAGTCATGTCGTGAAGATGGACCTCCGGAATCCATATCCTCCGTTGATAGACGTCCGGAATCCAGATCCTGTGTTTCCCATTAATGAAGAGTGGACCAAGTCGGCTTATGTAAAGTCTAGCTTGGGAGGTAAGATAAATGCTTCTCTGTTGAGCTTGAAACATTTAAATTACCTGGATCTAAGCTATAACTATTTTGATAGCAATCAAATTCCGAAGTTCTTTGGGGAGCTTAAAAGTTTGCAATATCTCAATCTCTCACACGCATCATTTGGAGGAGAGATTCCCCTTTCTCTTGGTAACCTGTCAAGCCTAAATTTTCTTGATCTCTCGTCAAATTTTGACTTATCTTCTAGAAGTTTGAATTGGCTTTCTCGCCTCTCTTCCATGAAATACCTTGATCTCGGAGGCATTAACCTTAGCGGCACAGGAGTCAATTGGGTGTATGATGTTAATATGCTTCCTTCATTATCAGAGTTACGCTTACCTTTGTGCTTCCAAATTGAAAGCAGTCCAGTACTCTCACTACAGAGCATTAATCTGACATCACTTTTGATCCTTGATTTGTCAGATAATATGTTTACTTCTGCATTTCCCAGCTGGCTTTTTAATCTTACTAGCCTCATAACACTTGATATATCCATCAATAATTTCAACGGTCCTTTTCCAAGTGAATTTGCAAACTTCAAATATCTAGAACACCTTGATTTATCTGAAACAGGCTTAAAAGGTCGAATTCCTAAAGTCATTGGAAATTTATGCAAGCTAAAGTTCTTAAGTCTTTCCGACAACAAGTTTGATGGGGGGATTGAAGAGTTTTGGAGGAGTTTCTCAAATTGTCCAAATAATTCACTAGAGTCACTAGATTTGTCAAATTGTGAGCTGAAAAGCCAACTGCCAGACTCTTTAGGTGTATTAAAATGTTTGCAGAGTCTCAATCTCATGGGTAATAATTTGTGGGGCTCAATTCCAGATTTCATGGGAAACTTTTCATCCTTGAAAATATTGGACCTCTCTGATAATAATATGACGGGCTCCATTCCACAAAGTCTGGGACAACTTTCTCAACTAGTTTCCCTACATCTGGCTGGTAATTCATGGGAAGGCAACCTAACGGAAGCCCATTTCATAAATCTTACCCGATTACAAGACTTTCAATTAGGATGTCAAGTAGGAAACATAGACCGCCCCATGTCCCTCATTTTCGACGTGGCTTATGATTGGGTTCCTCCTTTTCAACTCCACAGAATTGTGATCACAAACTGTTGGGTAGGTCATGGTTTTTGGATCTGGCTTCAATCTCAAACTGAACTAGTTGATATCTTCCTAAATGGTAATGGAATCTCAGATTCCATACCAAAGGAATGGTTGTTGATGATATCATCCCAACTCATCTTTCTGGACTTGTCTAACAACCAATTTCATGGAAACCTTCCCTCACATTTGAAATTTCCAAGTCTAAAATATATTGATTTGAGTAGAAATCAGTTAGAGGGCCTAATTCCACATTGGTGGTCCACTACTATCTCCGTCTTTAATCTTGGAAGCAATCTATTTTCTGGGTCAATTCCCTCCAATATTGGCCTGATGATGCCCAATTTGGGCACTTTAACTCTTTATGAGAATAATTTGAGCGGCACTATTCCTCCATCTGTTTGGAACATGCAACAATTGTTAGTCTTGTCTCTAAGGAGAAATCAATTTTCTGGAGAATTGCCTTGTGCATTGAGTGTGGAGAGCAAACTGGTGTTTCTAGATGTTGGTCTAAACAATCTTTCTGGTAATATTCCCTCTTCATTGGGGGTATTAAGTTCACTGAAATTATTAAAGCTCAACAACAACAATATTGGAGGTGAAATTCCTGATTCCTTGCAAAATTGTTCTAGTTTGATGAGTATTGATCTTGGAGACAACAAGTTATCCGGTAACATACCTCTATGGATAGGAGGATCGCATGTACCCATGTTGTCTAGGCTACTTTTACGGTCCAACTATTTTAGTGGACATATTTCTCAGCAGTTGTGTAATCTTCGGCATCTTCATATCCTCGACCTTAGTTACAACAACCTTTCAGGTATTATTCCCATGTGCTTGGGTGATTTGATTGCATTGGTGAATGGTTCAAATGAAATCACTTTTAGTCCTCTTGAGCAAGCCACACTGACACTAAAAGGATTCAAATATGTGTACAACACGACTCTTGATCTTGTAAAAAGCATTGATCTTTCATTGAATAATTTACAAGGTGAAATCCCTGAAGAAATAAGCAGCCTCATTCTATTGGGAACCTTGAACTTGTCCAGGAATAAATTGACTGGAAACATCCCCTCAAAGATTGGAAACTTGCATTGGCTCGAAACTCTTGATCTCTCCCACAACCACCTCTCGGGACAGATTCCTCAAAGCTTTTCATCTTTAACATCTTTGTCCCACTTGAACTTGTCATGTAACAACTTGTCTGGAAGAATTATTTCGGGAAACCAGCTTCAAACGCTCGATGATTCGTCCATTTATACGGAAAATCCATTACTGTGTGGCGCTCCTCTCTCAACTAAGTGCTCTGGAGATGACACTTTCCCACCTAAGGATGCCGAAGACAAGGATGAAGATGGGAATGACAAGTTGTGGTTCTATGCCACTATGGTACTTGGCTATATCGTGGGCTTTTGGGGTGTTTGCGGCACATTGATCTTAAAGACATCATGGAGGTATGCATATTTTCAATTCTTCGACAACATCAAAGACAAGATAGCACTAGCAATTGCATTGAAAGTGGCTCGTTTCCAAAGAATGTTTTCTAATGATTGTACTGTATATAGGTGATGTTTTTCCCTTTCTACTTTGTGTTTTTGGTAGTTGCAACTTATGTATTCAAGAAACGAAATTCTGTCGTTCAATAAATATTCCCACAAACAATTATGTATTAGGCTGTAATTAATAAAAAGTTCTTGTTTATACTTATCAATTTTGAATGAATAGAATTAGTATTTTTTTTTTGGGTAAAGTACAAAAAATTACCTCAACTATTGGTAATGTCATACCTCATCTTACGAATTTGTGCCAATGCCAGACTTTTGTCAGTTTTTCTGTTACTTTTTCTGTTAAATGTTGACGTGACCAGAAACATGACCCATTTTTATTAAAAAAATAATTAAATATTTTAAAAATTAATTAAAAATTAAAAAAAAAACCAAAAAAAAACCCATCAACCCGTGCCCTCCCCAAAAACCCAGATCCCTTTCTCTGAGTTCTCCCCCACCCAACCCTCTCTCTCCTCTCTCTCTCTCTCTCTTCTTTCTCCCTGCAACCTGCATCCCTAAAATCCCAAAACCCAGAAATCATTCCCACCCGAGTCATCACTGCTGGCGAGCTCTCAATCCTCTAAGCCAACGATCGCCGATTAACCCCAGACCCTTTCGCAACTGCCGCTGGCATCGGAGCTCTCCTTCTGGCACCACAGGTGATTCTGGTTCCCCCACTTCAAATACCATGACAAGTTGAAATTGTGCAGAGGCTTCGCCCTCTCAGAACCCATCGCCATGGACTTCACCTCCACTCTCTCTCCTCATCCGACCCGCATATATACACCATTTATCGGAAACTCAAATCAAAGAGAGCCACTCTCAGATCACAACTCTCTCTCTCTCTGTTTCTCGCGCCTCCTCTGATTTTCTCGGAAAATCTCGGAATTTTCTAGGAAAAAACAGAGAGTTTTTCTATTGGGATTGTTGTTGTTATTGTTTTGTTTTTCTCTTGCAAATCATCGGAGGGGCAGACTTCGGGGGCGAAGAGGAGAAAAGAATGTTGTTGTGGAGGTTGTGGCTAGAGTTAAGGTTTGGGGGCGATTGGGGGTCGTGGCTGTCATCGCTGGAGTCAACGACAGAGGTAGGGTTATCGTCGGTGGGATCGGAGAGGAAGGTTAGGGGGGACGGGTGGGAAGGATTTCTGGGTTTTGGGATTTTAGGGATGCAGGTTGTAGGGAGAAAGAAGAGAGAGAGGCGAGAGAGAGAGGAGAGAGAGGGTTGGGTTTTGGTTTTTTGTTTTTTGTTTTTTAATTTTTAATATTTAATTATTTTTTTAATAAAAAATGGGTCCCGTCTTTGGCCACGTCAGCATTTAACAGAAAAACTAACGAAAGTCTGACATTGACACAAATTCGTAAGATGAGGTATGACATTGTCAATTTTAAAAGATGAGGTATGAAAGTGTCGTGATATCAATAATTGAGTTAGTTTTTTTGTACTTTACATTTTTTTTATATCAAATTAATAGAATTAGGATTCGGGGAGATGAACATGCTAGTGTATGAATCTTTCTTTCCCCCCCCCCCCCCCCCCCCCCCAACCCGGGAGGCTTTGGAAATTTTTTGAACATGCTAGTTTTTTGTACTTGTACCGTTCTGGAAGTCATTCTGCAGTTTGGAATTGGTCTGCAATCTGGAATTTTCTGGGGTGATATTTTCGAATTATGAATGCAATTTGGAATCTATCCACTGTTTTGTTCGGCTTTTTCAAAAGGTAAAACTTACTCATTTAAGTCCTTTCTTTCAATTAATTTAAGTCAACTTTCTGCTCCTACTATTTGGAGAGATATGACTTATGTCAAGATTAGTGAGAGGACCTTTATCAAGATTCAAGACCAAGTAAGCACATTCCGAACAAGCCCCGTCGGTAAACTTTTGTTAAAGAAAGGGACGATGCTGATGAAGACTGAAAATATAATTTTAACGTGCTCGGAACAACAATTAACACTCACATTCACATCCCTCCTGAAGCCCAGTTCCTCTTCAGAACCTCCAACGGCAAAGAAATCAGCGACAACAGTATTTTTGGCCCGTGATATGCGCGCATCTGATAGTTTGGGAGGAAAAGGGGTGCTGCAGCAGAGAAAACAGTATGCCAGCTTCTGCCTAGCAAACTTTAGCTTGTCTAATCTTTACTCCTCAATCCACCTGCTTAGGTAGAGTTACAAAATAAGAAATTATCTGCATTTCCTTGTACAACGAAAGCTAGACGTCCCCCTGAACAACTGCACTCTCCTTGACTTATATTATATCAAGGTCTGGTGGTAACTCCAATAACAAGAAGCTAGATCTCGGTTCGTGAGAGAGTGTACTGTACATACCTGGCAGGATGGTTGAGATCCTTACGGTGTATAGATTGGCAATTGTTGGAATCATCCACTGCCAGCTTTAGGAAATCATCATTTCCGATTTTCAAACAAGTAACACAAGAACAACGCAAGGATGAATAAGTTATATACAATGTGTTGAGGAAAAAATTAGAGTACACAACTCTAACACAAGTATTGGAGAGACAAAACAAGTAAACAAATTACTTGTATTACACACACAAAATATTACAACACTCAAAATTCTCAAAGACACACTTTAGAAGCAATGACACTCTCTCACTTTCTAGAGACAAACTCTAGACCACTCACACTCCTCACTAGGACTACTTGCTTCTCTTCTTGGCTATTTGGTTTGCTCTCTTACTAGTTACTTGATTGGTTGATTGGTTGGTTTCTATTTATAGGGCATGCTTGCCGACTTATATAATCACTAGAATTTTCTAGTGCATTGATCATGCACACACACTTTTCCACCGACATATGGCTTTGCATAATAGTCACATATTTTCCTAGCTTCTAGTATGTTCTACATACCTCTAGCTTATATAATTCTAGACTGGCCAACCTACTTTACATGCTAGAATTGTCTAGCATGTCACCTCCAATATTACATGCTAGAATCTTCTACAACAATTCCATGCATGTTTGAACTACAATAATCTAGTTCCCTTATACTGGCTAATCTTAATGGGCTGGTGTTGATCTTTAACACAATGGTCCGTCAAAATAACTCAGAACAAAACAAATTGCTGTGGAACAAAATACTAGAGGTTTACGAGGTTGCATCTATCACTTCACAAACTGGTGTGTCTGTGATTGCTGATGGTGGAATTTCCAGTTCTGGACACATTGTGAAGGCTTTGGTCCTTGGGGCTTCTACTGTCATGATGGGAAGCTTCTTAGATGGAAGCACTTAGGCTCCCGGGGCTTTTGTGTATCAGGTATGTTTGTGATCTACTCATGTTTTTATTGCTAGAACAGATATACTGCTCTTACCATCAGATATAAAATTTACTTTCACACTTCTTCTCTCTTGTATGAGTGTTTACTTCAATATGTCTTTTCTAGTTCTTTGATGACTTTTTGAGCGATTTAAGGAGTTTATTAGGCAGATTACGAATACTGAATTACAACTGTGGTTGGTAAAGAAACTTACCTAGAAGATGTGTGTTTCAAAGTTTGTTAAGACATCCTGCATTATTTCTCATCCTTTTTGGAATGCATCAATATTGTTCGACAGATCAGTTGTACTTCATTGATGTGTTATGGTTTGCCATCAATCTTTAATGCTTTTACATTATTAGGAATGCCATTCGTATGTCTGCATGGACTCTCTCCTTGATGACCAGAACTTAATAAGTTTGAAGCCTGCATACGGTCAGGACTCGGGGGTTTTGGACTCCTTCGGGCTAGCACAAGTGGGGAGAGTAAATGGCAAAATGGTTAGGATTAAGCTAGGTAAGGGTTCAGATCCCTGAAACTGTGATTGGATTTCATGGATGCATGTCCAAGCTAAACTTACGGGGTACTGTATTGGACATAGTATTTCATTTCTGTGTGTTTCCTTTTTTAATGGTTGTTCTCTTGTTAAGCGATTGATTAAATTTTCATGATTTTGAGCTAAAAGCCAAAGTTCTACATATATGTTTGTATATATTATGCGTAATTGCACTGGATTTCAGAATACTCGTCTTTTACAAGCAACATGCTGTTTGTTATTTCTTTGCCATTGCTGATTAGCTTTCAGCATGCTTAACCTGTATTAAGGAAACAGTGTGATATAGTGATTTCATGTTTTCTATTAGAATGGTCGCCGAGTTAAAAAATATCGAGGCATGGGATCTCTTGATGACACGCCCCGACCCTGATGTCCTCGGGACATCGGAATGGTCACGTGCTGGCCGACACCCGAAGGGTGACGAAAGCCATTTAATTTAAGTAAAAGCTATGAAATAAGCTAAAACGGGCAATAGGAACTAATAACATAATACTAAAGTTCAACTACTAATTAATAAAATTATGGTCATACACATAATCTCAGAGCATACGTCTAAAACATAGTACAAACAGAATTTAAGATAGAGAAGTGCTATAGTACAATAGATGTCGAAGCAAGAGAAATATAGCATTGGATCACTGGTAGGGAAATGCCTCGTAGCTTAAATCGTACTCCTCATTCGTAGGTCCTGAAGGGGGCGCAAAACAAAGGTGAGTGGACCAATTTGATATATATAAAACAGTTATCAACATACTAACCTCCAGGTTTTATGAAAACACATATATAATGGATAAACATAGGTTTTCCGAAACCTAACATGTTATGCAGTAACTTAAATCATAACTTGTATATATAATAATCACTAGTGAATGTCCGATAACCCCTAGGCCCCATGCCGGCTCCCCGTCTCTGAGCAAACAGTCAGAGGAAAATACACTTCAGGTCCCATGTCGGCTCCCCGTCCCTGTGCTAAATAGCTAGAGGAAACACACTCCAGGCCCTATGCCAACACCAAACTGTCGCTCGGGATGGACCGGAATCTATCCCTACGTCCTGTAACGGAAGGACCACTAAGTAAGTACAAAACTATTGAACATATCTATATTGAAAAGCAACTTCATAGTATAAAGTTATCCATCATCTATACTATAAAGAGGTGTTCTAAACATGTTCTAAATATCATATCGTCATCCATCAGATATTCTATAAGAACACGGGTTATAGGAAAAATAATACTAATTCAAAGTAGCCCCAGTAAGCATGTTATCTCACAAAACATTTCATAAAACATAATCATTAAATCATGTTTTTTATGTATGTATTTCTATTATTAAAACATGCTTTTGAAGGGGTCCACTCACCGTACACCGATGGTGAAAAGCTGTACCAAAAAGGTATAACGGAAACACCGTTAATAATTGCACCTATTCATATAAAGGGGTACCCTTTAGTCAAACTCTATTCAAACGATTGAATTGGGAAAACGGACTTAAAAAACGGGTCCAGGACGTCGAAATTAGCCTAGGAGAGGTTCTGGATGAAACCCCGAAAAGTCAACTCAAAACGTCAACGTTGATCGTTGATCGGTCAAAGTCAAAGTCAACGCTGACCATTGACCGAGTCAACGGGGTCAGAGGGGTCAAATGTCAGACTGGGCTTTGGTTTTGGGTTGGGCCGAAAGGGCGGGCCTAAGGGTTTTGGGTTTAAGGGTTAATAGGTTAATAGGTTTGGGAAAGGGCTCAAGCCCCTTAACAGAAAATGCCCCAAAGGCCCTAATTAACTAAATAAAACCTGAAAAGGTTTTGAGTTGAACTAATGGGCTACAAGCCCTAAACATAATGGCCCGAAGGCCTTTGGGTCTAAAACAATTAAACGAAATTGGGTGAGGGTTTTGGGCTTGGCTCACTACGGGCCTAAGGCCCCAATGCCTTGGAACCGGCCTGAAAGGCTTGGCGCACCGGAGGAGAACGCCGGAGCTTCTACAGCTCCGGTCGGCCTGAAACCTAGCTTTTAAGGTCCAATCTAGGTACCAAAACGAGCACAAGATGAGGGGAGTGATTCTATACCTTTGGTTTGTCGTGAAATGACCTGTGGTGGTCGGAAAACCCCTCGACAACCACACGGCTCGCCGGAGATGGGAGTGTCTACACCCGAGTTCGATTTCGTCTCAAAAACCTTGGAAAAACACGAGATACAACTCAATAAAATCCATCCACGCAACAACTAAACGGAGAGAAAGAAGATCGTGACTTACCTGATTGGAAAAACAGAGAAGCCTCGCCAGAGCTCCTGGGTTTCGCCGAGTTCGCAGAAACGAGAGGGAGAGAGAGAGCAGGACGAGATTGATGATGGTGATGGGTGTCTTCCTCGAGCAGGTGCAATGGTGTGCGTGTGTGTGGGTTCACAATGCAGAGAAGAGAGAGATGAGGGAGTGAGGGTTTCGAGAGAGAATGAATAGACAGAAAGAGGAAGTGAGAGGAGTCTTGGGGTGCTGCCACGTGGCAGTTTGAGGATAAAAAGGAATCCCAAATTTTAGATCCGGAAATAGGACAAAATTGATAGATTCAAAACATTAAGGGGTAATTACACAAATATATTTTTATAAATGGGGGTGGGTGTTACACTTGAAGCAATGACAAAAGGGAGTGATCAGAGGTACTTGGGGGGGATACAGCTAAAGCTAAAAATTGCACAGGGCGTGGTTGGGGCAGTTGCAGACCATTTTGCAGACCTTGTGATTCATGTCATCATTATTGTTCGTGCTTCAAATGAGAATTGATGTTGTAGCCAATGCTTCTTTCGATAACTTACTCTTTCGTAGTCTGTTCTTACTTTATAGGGAAGAAGTCTGTAAACCTCTCAGGGTCTTCCTTCTCTCCACCTCTTAGATAATTTTCCAGCCCCATCCATTACCTCAAGGAAAAGCCCACTCCATGATTACGTACCTTGTTATTGCTTATGGGACCTGAGATGTTATGATGGTTGTATCAAGAACTAACATGGTTTCTCAATCAGTTAGTGTATTTTACTAAATATGCAGGTAAGAACAGGAGCAGCACAAGTAGAAGGTGGAGTTCATGGTCTGGTTTCGTACGAGAAGAAATCATTTTGATGGTTATATCTGGCGACTGCTGTCTCGGGGAATTGGGAACTCTTCCGTGTTCCATTATGCAACCGATATATCGCCAATTTAGCATGAGTAACAGGGATTGAGCCTGTCAAACTGCTACGGGTTTTGCAAGAAGATTGCTGAACAGCGGAAGTTTTGATCTCGGACGGTTCTCTGGCGTTTTGTTGGTTGCCATGACTCATGAGAGGTTTCCATATCTGCCTGCATTTGTTTGACTCTGCACTTTAAGTGTGACATATGACTAGTTAGAACGGGCAAAACATGTTGACAGAGTGATAGCATAACTGACAGAGCGACTTGAGTTTTGGGTTCGCTGAAGATTGAAAGGATGTGGAGGAATTTGGTGGTGAAATTGATCAGGATGAGCAGATAGGGATTTAGGGTTTGGAAGGATTTGGAGAAATCTCACGGTGAGATTTCTTGTCTTGATGGTGTGAACTTTTAGATGAGCTTTTTTGGGTTTCGATTCGAATTGGAGTAAAAAGCAATCGGTGCAGACCGCAGAGGAAGGAGGTGGTGGAGGAGAGAAATCTCGCTAGCACACCACGCATGCAACAGGGCTTTTCGTCTTTTTACTGTAGCATCATGAAATATAGGAAGGAAAAGATCAGGTGAAGAGGAATATTTTCGTCTTTACACCGTGCTTAGAAACAGTGAAGCTGCGGGATTGAAATTGTATAAAAGATTATGTTTGAATGATATAAAAGATTGGGTTGCAAAACGTTAATGCTACATACAAAAGATAAAGTATATAGCAATCTACTTGACAACGTTAAGTAGATTGTTATACAGATGATGTTATTGCTTCCTCTTACACATATGTTGAGTGCAAAACGGCATAACAATGATGATAAAAACATTATTAGCTCTCCCATGGACCAGAACTTAGAGGTCCAAAACTTGAAAACCCCCATTCAAAGAGACAGTGTAGTCTAATTTCTTTTCAATCACAATCCCAATAGAGATAAAACAACGATTAAAGAACAGGCTAAAAATACGATAAAATTCAATTACATTATTCTAAGGATTGAATTGCAAACTACAACATTGCCATGTAACAGGTAGAAAAATTCGTACCCAGTTCATCCAATTCAATTGCAATCAGTTCCACACCAACCCTTCTGAACAACGGTACAGTTGAGTACCTTCAAACCCAATTTTCAAAACAAATAATTCTATTTATGAAAAATTTGAACTCATTTCTGCGACACAAAAATCCAGCACTACTCCTAGCTGATGAAACAAAACAACCTGCAAAGCTTATACTTGATCATATTTCACCAAAAACTTCTCCACAACTGTAAATTTTCCCCCAAGACAAACAGAAACCAGAAACATTCTGTGAAAGTAAAGTAAGCCTGTTGAGGTGTACATGAACACCAAAATAGAAACTGTACCAAGGTCTACCCTATTGTATATGTATGCATAATTCAAGTTCAAACTCTCATGTGGAAAAAATTGCAAAGAATTGTAATATGAAAATTCAACTAAGTTATGCAAAGCATACCAAACCAATCCCAAGTATCTTGAAACTCAACTTTGCTGATATCATGATATGAAGATGGCATCACTTTGAAACCCTTATCCACACCATAGAGGGGATTAGACTCCATAGAAGAACTTGCGAGCTGCCATTAATACTATATTATATTAGCATATTTCAATCTTTTTACACATAACAACTATTACTAAGAAGATTGAAACATAAACCATAAGATAAAAGGAAAATGCCACTTTTTTTATTCTAAAAATCCATCAACATGAGCTACTATTGTCAACCTTTAACGCCATAAGATTCATTCTGTCCAACATCTTCCCACGTTTTAGAGAAATTTAATGAAGTTGTATTAAAAAGGAGTTCTCAAATGTACACAATCTTTCACTTTTTTTTCGTTGTTCACAAATATAAGCGAATTTGTTGATAAGCTACAATATATTTTAACCTGCCATTCAAGTTCTTTGGAACATGATACGATGCCTAATGCCTAACACATTGTTCAATATGTTTTTGAAAAAAATGAAAAATACACTCACACATTGACATGCTAAAAAACAACACTAAAGAAAATATATTTCACAGAATTAATTTCTTCCGCTGCTTCTAAATCAGAAGATCAATTTAAGCAACTAAGGATAAAAATTTATTGAAAAAAGTGCAATACAGGAACAAACTTTTTTAGTTCTTGATAAGGAGAAGTTGAGGAACTAAAGCTGCCAAGAAGAAAACATAAGGCAAAAGAGAAAAAGAAGTTGGATACCTGAGATAATCGAAGAAGAACCCTAATTTATTTTTCCACGGAGAGAGTAGTTGACAGTTTCGTGGCAGAGACAAAGAGGGTGCCGTCGAATTCTCATTCCGGTGAACGAATCGCCACTAACTTCTACAATTCCCAAATCAAAAAATTCCAGTAAGGGTATGCCGAAACACAAATCAAAGATTCAATTTCTTTGTGTACCGAATGACACAAAGATTGAGACTTTTTTTTACTTCTAAAATTCTACACACTTTCGAGCCCTAAATTTTCCCGGAAACAAAAGAAAGTGAAAGAAGTTGTACCTGGTTTGAGAGGGCGGACGCTATCGGCAAGTTTGGTGGAGCAGTGATGACGAAGATCTCTGGTGAGAAAGCTAATAAGATGGACGAATCCATTGAACAAAAAAACCACGATTTTTAAAAGTAAAGTCAACAAAAATTTGAACAAAGAAAAAAGAACTCTAAAACCCAACCCGAAACAAATAAGTCGGAGAACTCACCAGGAAACCCAAAGTTTCTGCAGGATTGGTGACTTCCTGAAAATCAAGCTTTTGTAGGTCCCTAAGGCAACAGATCCAACATTCTCAACTTTAGCTATTTCAGCTCATAACAGAAGAAATTATTTAATTTAACTATAATTAACTAACCTGATTTAAGATTAATCGAAAAGCTTGGAAATTTCAGTTTTAAAATTACGTCTCAGGCTGCAAACCGAATAAAAAGCGTTTTAAAACTGTTCACCTTAAATACAGAGGCCTTCGCATGCTGCAAAGAAATATCATAAACCCAAAAAATCAGATCTCCTGAAACCAAAAACACAACCAAATTAACCACCATCACTCAGAATCCGAACCCACAAACAAAATCCCCAAAATCACAACCAAAAAATTTAAACAAAAAACCCATTTATAAATCCAAATTTACACTCCCAAGTGCAAGAATCTAAGCTCCAATTGTTCTTTCTCAACTTTAGCTATTTCGGCTACATAACATAAAAAAAAAAAATTAATTTAACTATAATTAACTAATCTGATTTCAGATTAATAAAAAAGCTTGGAAATTTAAGCTTTAAAATCACATCTCAGACTGAAGTCGAATCAAAAGCGTAGGGTTTCAAAGCTGCTCACCTTAAATAGAGAGGCATCCGCAAGCTGCAAAGACACATCAGAAACCCGAAAAACCGGATCCCCTAAAACCAAAAACAAAACCAAATTAACCAATTTATTCGAGCATTTAGCGTGCTTGTCGATATTTGAGTATAACTTGTGGATTCCTATTTTCATTTTCCGATTAAACTTCATCGAACATGCGGTGATCTCTATCTTGTTTGTCTAGTAAGTATCAATACGGCTAGGTGTCATGCACCCGCCCACACCCAACCAATACATTTGGACGTTTCCCTCCACATTTACCCACTTCACTCACTAGTCGCAAAAACCCTGAACCCGCCGCCTTCCTCCCCCTCCATCGTAACCACCTCAATGTCCGCCTCAATCTTCGAAGACGGCTTCTCCTCCGAGCGCCTCTTCAACCAGGGCTACTCCTACACCTACGATGACGTCATCTTCCTCCCTCACTATATCGACTTCCCCACCGACTCCGTCCATCCAGCCTCCAACCTCAGCCGCCGCGTCCCTCTCTCGATCCCCTGCGTCTCGTCCCCGATGGACACCGTCACGGAGTCCCACATGGCCATCTCCATGGCCGCACTCGGCGGCATTGGCATCATCCACTCCAACTCGACGTCGTCCGAGCAAGCGCACATGGTCCGGTCCGTCAAGTCCCGCCGGGTCCCGCTTCTTTCCAATCCCGTATTCAAATCCCCAAGCGATCGAATCCAATCCGACGACGTTTTCGACGCTGCCAATCCCTACATCCTGGTTACCGAGAGTGGTGGCCCCAGTTCGAAGCTTTTGGGGTACGTGACTGGTAAGGATTGGGTGAAGTTGGGGGACAAGGAGGTGAAGATATACGATTACATGGTGAACTGTACGGACTTCACGGTGCCGTGGAGTTACGATTTGGGGGCGATTGGGGAGTACATGGAGCAGAAAAAGCGAGATGTGGTGGCGACTGTGAAGGACAATGAGGTTGTGGATGTGGTGGCGAAGGAGGAGGTGGAGAGGATTAAGGGGTACCCCAAATTGGGGGTTGGGACGGTGGGGCCCGACGGGACATGGCGTGTCGGGGCGGCGATCGGGACTAAGGAGTCGGATAAGGAGAGATTGGAGGAGTTGGTGAAGGCAGGGATTGATGTAGTGGTGTTGGATAGCTCTCAGGGGAACTCCATTTATCAGATTGAGATGATAAAGTATGTGAAGAAAATGTACTCGAATTTGGATGTAGTTGGCGGGAATGTGGTGACGGTGAGTCAGGCGCAGAATTTGATTCAGGCTGGTGTTGATGGGTTGAGGGTTGGAATGGGATCTGGCTCAATCTGTACCACTCAAGAGGTCTGCGCCGTCGGACGCGGACAGGTATAAAATGCCTTCTTTTTGTTGACTTGTTTGTTTTTGTGATTGATGCTTTAGGTTATGTTATCATTGGTGGTGTCTAAATTAAGGCTTGTTAGAATGTGGAGAGTGTTGAAAGTTATGATATTTGTAGTGATTGGTTTGATTGGTTAAATTGCTTAAATTCTTAGTGTGTGATAAATGTTTGAGTAAGGATTTGTTTAATCACTGACAGTGTGCCTACTTAACAATCATTGTTTTGATGGGTGCTTTACTCTCTTGTTATCAGATACTTGGAAACATAGAACTTAGAAAACAAAGGTTTTGACTTTACCTTCTGGTATCAACAACCATGTAGTCGATTAACATGGTGTAATTTGTATTAATACATTTCAAAAAGTGGTGTGCCTGTGATTGCTGATGGTGGAATTTCCAATTCTGTATCAGGCAACTGCTGTTTACAAGGTTGCATCTATCGCTTCACAAAGTGGTGTGCCTGTGATTGCTGATGGTGGAATTTCCAATTCTGGACACATTGTGAAGGCCTTGGTCCTAGGGGCTTCTACCGTCATGATGGGAAGCTTCTTAGCTGGGAGCACTGAGGCTCCCGGGGCTTTTGTGTATCAGGTATGTCTGGGATTTACTCATGTTTTTATTGCTAGAACAGAGATACTGCTCATACCATCAGATATAAAATTTACTTTCACACTTCATCTCTCTTGTTTGAGTGTGTACTTCAATATTTCTTTTATGACTTTTTGAGTGGTTTAAGGAGTTTATTGGGCAGATTTACAAATACTGAATTACAGCTCTGGTTGGTAAAGAAACATACCTAGAAGATGTGTGTTTCTTAAGTTTGTTAGACATCCTGAATTATTTCTTATCCTTTTCGGACTGCATCAATATTGTTTGACATATCAGTTATACATTGATGTGTTATGGTTTGCTATCAATCTTTATTGCTTTTACATCATTAAGAATGCCATTTGTTTGTTTGTATGGACTCTCTTCCTGATGACCAGAACTTAATAAGTTTGAAAGCCTACAGACAGTCAGGTGTTTTGGACTCCTTTGGGTTAGCCCAAGTGGTGAGAGTAAGTGACAAAATGAGTTAGGATTAGGCTTGGTAAGGGTCCGTTCCCTGAAACTGTGATTGGATTTTTCACAGATGCATCTCCAAGCTAAACTTATGGGGTCCTGTATTGGACATAGTATTTCATTTCTGTGTGTTTCTTTTTTAAAGGTTATTATCTTGTTAAGCAATTGATTAAATTTTCTTAATTTTGAACTAAAAGCAAAAGTTATATATATATGTGTGTGTGTGTGTGTGTGTGTGTATTGTGCATAATTGCACTGGATTTTCAGCATACTTGTCTTTTACAAGCAACATGATGTTTGTTATTTCTGTGTCATTGTTGATTAGCTTTCAGCATGCTTAACCTGTGCTAAGGAAACATGTGATATAGTGATTTCATGTTTTCTATTAGAATGGTCGCCGAGTCAAAAAATATCGAGGCATGGGATCTCTTGAAGCAATGACAAAAGGGAGTGATCAGAGGTACTTGGGGGATACAGCTAAACTGAAAATTGCACAGGGGGTGGTTGGGGCAGTTGCAGACAAAGGTTCTGTTTTGAAGTTCATACCATACACAATGCAAGCTGTAAAACAAGGCTTCCAAGATCTTGGTGCTTCCTCACTGGTGTCTGCTCATGACCTCTTAAAATCAAGCATTTTAAGGCTAGAGGTAAGTAGACCATTTTGCATACGTTGTTATTCATGTCATCGTTATGAAGGATATCATTGTAGTTCTGTGCCTTAAATTAGAATTGATGTTTTAGATGTTTTAGCCAATGCTTCTTTAGATAACTTACTCTTTCGTAGACCGTTGCATTATCTGTTGTATTCTGGTTCGTCACTCTCAAGTTAAAGCTTACTGAAACAAGTGGGGAAGAAATCCCGTAATCTAGAGTACTGGTATTGGGTGTACACTACTTTACTTACAGAGAAGAAGCCTGTTGCCTCTCAGGATCTTCCCTCTCCCCACTTCTCAGATAGTTTTCCAGCCCCATCTATTACCTAAGGGAAAAGCCCACTCAATGATTACCTTGTAAATGCTTCTGGGACCTGAGATGTGACGACGGTCGTATGAAGAACTAATATGGTTTCTCAATCAGTTGACAATGTATTGACTATATATGCAGGTAAGAACAGGAGCAGCACAAGTAGAAGGTGGAGTTCATGGTCTGGTTTCGTACGAGAAGAAATCGTTTTGATGGTTATATCTTTTCAGCTTTTCTCATTCCTGCTGGTGACTGCTGTCTCGGGGAATTGGGAACTCTACCAGCTTTTCCATTCTGCAACCAATATCGCCAATTTAGCATGAGTAAAAACTGTGCGACTCGAAATTAGTACATGATATTAATCTTTGAACTCTTTTAAGTGTTTTGTAGTTAATTGAGTATTTCACGTGTCATAAAATCAGTGGAGTACAAAAAAAATAAAAATATTATTTCCTCCGCTTATACGATAACATATAGATTACCGTTTGAATAGCTGGTACTTTGACAAATAATGTGTGAAGCATGCATTAGTAATGAGTTGTTGAGGGTTTGGAAGATTCAAAGTATGACATTGACATGCTCCTTAATGAGACTTTTTTTCTTCGATGCTTAATTACATAATACATTGACAGGTAGTGATCACTTTGGAATGGACATTTCGAAATTGAAAACCTCATACATATATAATAATATGATGAAATTTGGTTTTGCCATAATTTCATCAAAACATGATTTACAGTTGTATTATCTCCAAGTTATGTTTATGGAAGACTAAAGTTTGTCATAAAATGATAAGGGTAGTATGGATGACTTAATGGGCATGCAGAAACCTTGACCAATGACCTAGAAATAATTTTGAGATTAATTTGCCAATACTGAAATCTTATATATATTGGCGCAAGTGGTTTCATAGTAACGAAATGTGTTGAGCCCTTGCATGCGGCATGGGTTCGAATTTGGTCAGTGACTAATCTAACAACTATTCTAACAAAATCTATCATTTGACAAAAAAAAAAAATCTTTTATATATTGGCAGGCATAAGCATTAAAGCATAGCATACTTGTGGTTACTAATCGAATTAGAGTAATATTAGAAAGACTAAATTTTGTAGATTAAATTTAAAAACTAAGTAATGTGTCACCAATAATAAAAAAAATAAAACGTTAATCAACACTTAATTAATAATTTAATTATTAACTTTTATGCCATTTAAATTATAAAATTTAGTATACAAATTTGATTTTCCTAATAACATTCAAGGTTATAGGGGGCATTCCTCACATCCTCAGATATGTCAACACGATGGGGATTTTTTATGGAAATAACCTAATACGTTGATTAATTTACTTTGACTACACTATAACAAAAATTTAAATTTCGCCATGAAACTAACCAACAACAAATCGATCCAGTAGTCCAAGTTTGACATGCAAAATTTAATAAAATTCCCGATGTAGAACATTCTTCACATCCTCAAAGTGCATGCATTATTAATATTACTGGTCAGTTGGGTTGGGAAGATTGAAAGTATGACAAACTCCTATCTTCGGGTCCAATCTGACCTTTTCTTCCATGCTTAATTATATATAGCAGGCAGGTCTACCTCGCTATATGGGCATGAGTCATTGAGAAAGTGATCACTTAGGAGAGAGATTTTTCAAGATGTCCAGAATACAGGTGATATACCACGTATTATTATACAAGTGATGAGATACTTGTGTTAAAAAAATTTAAAAAATAAA